CGAGCAAGATTTATATGGCTTATTTTCTCGACCAGATGAGCGTCCTTTTATATGTTATAGAAACTATGCCATTCATTGATGAAATGGTACTACGTCACTAAAGCCATCGTCAAATAATAGCAAAGATTTGCACCATCCTAAAAATCCATGAAGCAAATAGCATTGTTGATTGATTACAGGCTTTCTTACAGGTAGAACAGCGCCTCGCCAGTTCGTTGCGCCCTAAGTATTAAGTAATGCGATATGAACTGAGAGCAGTTCCGTACTATTTTCTTTTTTCTGGTATGTGTTCAGATGAATAGAGACAACACGCAAGAAACACTCTCGGTAACATCTTGTTATCATTATATTAGTAATACTTGCGAGATATATATAATAAAATTGCTTTATTAATATATTCTACGACTGTAACAGGACATTAACTTGTAAGCTGCCATAAATTCTAACGATGAAATCTGTTATTGCTAACCAACAAAGATGATTTTGTACGTATAGCATACGCATGCAAAATTCAACTCGGCTAAACTATAGTGTAAGGCATCAGTCCTGTAGCAACATCTTACAATGAAAATTAATTCAATTGAAGTAATTAGCAATATCAAAGACAAGATAGCTCGAAGGCAGCGCGCACAACAAACGGGTCAACGTTGAATGTCTCCATTTACAAACTGCAACGGAACAACTAGGGAAAAGTTTTGCTAGAGTTAGAAAGTGCGGTTGCCTTTGGCGCCAACGCTAGTGAGTAAACGCCATCGATGATCGCAAGGACGCAGTCGTCCAGGGATAGCGCTCGACGCCTTGGTGTAATAGTGAGATGTTGATTATCACGACGACGCGTATGGCCAAAGTCCTGCCAGGCTTCATCGAAACTGCGTAGGAAGCAAAGGTTCACTGTAGACCACGCTTCGAGGCAACACTACTATGCGCCTCAATAAAAGGCCGTATAGATATTAGACCTTTTGATTCCCTTGCCAACGAATCATGTTGTTTATGGCTGTATCATACGTTTTGTATATGTGTGACCGAATTGATTCAGTGTGGATAAGAAACTGTAATCATTTAAGTTGAATAGTTTTGTAACAAAAACTCATACACCGCAGAGGGCGAACAAAAAATATCAATGTCACAATCGAAACCCACAGATTCGCTATGTTTCATGAATATCTTACGTAGAATAATTTTTTTAATTGATCCGAAACGGAACTTCTGTTAAATATGTACCGCGACTGCGGCTCAGTGTATATTTGCAGCTGGAATCTCACAGTATTCTCTCCATCAAACTCTCAGCGCACGGGCCGTGAACTCTTAAAAATAAAAAGTGAATTAATAAAATTGCTCTAAATAGTCGTTTTGAATAAACCGGCCACAAGTCTCGTGGTGTTTAATAAATACTCGTGCCCGCAACACGTATCGAGGAAAATGATTTGATTTTTTTAAAGCGGTAATTTCATACATGGCTGATTGCAAGGGTTCACTCGTTGTTACGCAACTATGGTCATTTTTCGCTTTGTCTCACTCCGTGGCCGGCTTTGAGGCCAGCAACCTCTCCAACACTAACCGCCTATTCTGGACAGACCCAACAGGTCTAATTTCTTTTATACTTTCTGCGAGATAATTTCATAACAATATGATCTAACACGTTCAACTGAAACAAGTTAGAATAAATAACATGTTTGTCTCGAATCGACTTATGTGTACAGCTCGTTCGACTGCTCTCAGCGTCCTTCACTAACGTCACTTTTCGTGAAGGCACCACTTCTTGCATAGGTGGTGTGCCGTTTGGAATTCAACTAATTTTGATGTTTAAGTCCTTTTGCTCTATGCGTTTTGTTGCTGACTGAGCCTGATCCGTAAAACAGCTTAATGATATGACAACGCTCTTTTGATCAAATGTCCTCACCACGAATGCTATGGATCTAGCGAACGTGTCATCGACTCGCGATGCTGCTATTGTGGCGTAAGTCATGTAATTTCTTATTCTTCTTCATGTAAAGTCTTATTCTACCCGTCTTCTTGTGTGCGCTAACATATCCGTATGTTTATAAACTTGCGCATTTTGATATCCCTGTTTAGTTGCCCCGTTTGTTATGAAGTGTTGATTTTGCGTAATAGTAAATTACTACCAGCCGGCATAGGCTTGGAGACTAGAAAGTAGTTTCGCGGGCCGGTTTAAATGTCGGATGTATAGCCGATTAGAAGATTAGATTTGTTATTGCTTTAAGTGAAACTGGATGGGTCTGGGGCTCGGATTGACGCTATCGGGCGGAACTCATCGCCGAAAACGATCTGTATACCTACACGAAACCAACAAGGCAAAAACGACGTAAGAAATGACGATTCCAAAACATTTCGTACCGGTCTTACAGGTACTGGAGCTAATTTACGATTTTCGCTGTCAAAAACGGTACTGTCAGGGCCCAAACGAAAGCCCTCGTTAACCTGCCTTGACGATCTTAAAACGGCGCGTGCTATCATATTTGCCTAATTTCGATTGTAGGAACTATTTGGCATTCACTCGTATAACACTTATTAAAGAAATTAATGGTAGCTATGTTATAGGTTTTGTCTGCATTTTTATTATTTGAATAAAAAATAACATCTCAAAACAGATATTTGAAATAATATGTTTGCGTTACAACGAGTTGTTGGTTTATGGATTACGTGGCAAGCGGCAAGCAGCAATTAAAAATAGATTACGATATGACAGTGACATCTCAATGTATGCTAAATCTGGCGTTCGGGCGTCCCCTGTACCCGACTGGTGGAAATGTTTGTGAGAAACTAAATGATAAATAAACAAATTATTCATTGGTCGTCGTTCGTACAGGTGTAGGCATGTGTAGAATAAGAGACCAGTGGTCGGTACATACAATGCGCATTGATGTTCAGGGTTATTCGCTGAGATATAATGAGAAATCTACTTACTCCACACTTCTTCGTCACAAAAATATTCTATGTTATACTGCTTAAAATTGGACGTTAATGCTTCGTGCTTGTTATAATTGGTTCACTACACATTGTATACGACATCTAAGACTTAATTTGCCTAAAAGTCACCATTGACTTCTATAGCTGGTTAAAAACTGTCAACGTAATTATCTGTATTATTATGATTATTACGTACTCATTTGGCAGCATCAGTAGTAGATTTTCTTTGTCGTTGCTGTCGATCCGCGTGGTTTTCGTGGTGCTGTCTTCACTATTGCTATACCTGGCAAAGTTTTTTCCTTGCCATATAATTCAACTAACTGTCCATAGTCAGCTTGAACCCGTGCCAGTCGGTGGCTATCTAGTACTCGCATCTAGTAGTCGATAAATTTTTCACACGCCTAAAGCTCTTGAACTTGTTGATGTCCAGGTGTCGTGGCCGACTTTTCGGCCCTCATTGGCCCTTTCCTTGAAAGGATTACGATTGCGCATTTGAACATATTATATGTCAGCTTAAGTCTATACTGCACTTGAATTGTGTTATTCAATAAGGCTTTGACGCTCTAGGCGTCTGGGCTAAATTGCCCGCGAGCAATAATCCTGATATCTGCATGAACTTCTAGTGCTATATGTTGAATCTTTTCCAAGACCTTATTAGCACTTCTTTTAAAACTATTATGTATATATACAATGTTAAAAAACATAAAAAATTAATTTACCACGTGAGCAGGTTAAGGTTAAGGTTTCATATTCGTGGGAAAATTTTGCCTCCTGGTTTTTTCCATTGGGAAAAAACAAATGTATGTACACAAATTAAAATATTTTTGGCTCCAATTGACTCTCCACGTTGAAACATACACGCCGAAACGGAGAGCATTTCCTAAATAGTGCCATCTAAAACATGGTCTTGTTAGCTTCTCTTGCTGCTGCGCTTTTCATATTCTTTATGCATGGATTTCTCTAGGTCGCATTAGGTTAGAGCTAAATTGTGGCCTTTTGAAAATCCGTCTTGGTTGTTCTGTTCTCCTTGGCCACTTACCTCACACCCCTGGATTGCTAGAGCGTGTTCAAGCGCGTCGCTTGTAATAATATCGTCTTTAAAATAGGTCCTACTGGACGTGAACTCGTTTTGCAGGACTGCCTACTTATCGAATTTCATGTTACTGCCCACTGAACCATTACTGACTTTATTATATTCACTGATCATATTCGCCGTTCCGGGGTTTCGTTTGGGTATTTTGTAGCGAGTCTTAGACATACTAATTATAGTACCGTGATCAGGTCCATTGTATATGGCCCTACAGTTGTCTGTCAGCCCTGCCATGTTCCAACGTGTGTTGCTACATATTATTTCGTACATGGCAGCGTCAGGTTTGTTGTACAAATGCCGCTAAATTGTGCTTGCTTTATAATTAACGAGAATAGGACAATAATTAATAAGAAATACATTGTTGCCCTTTTGCTTAGCTCGTGAAATGCTTCGTCGCTCCAATGTGCGGCGTCTCTGCTTGGTTGTAGGGCTGTTTATCTCAACCGATGATTGATAGATATCGGCGTATTTGCTTGATTTCGTTAATTTGCGGCGCTTTTGTCGTCTCTAATGCCCTTTGCGTTGCCTGCATTTTAATATTCAACTTTATTAATCGCATATATTTTACCGTTAACTTTTCTAGTGATTTGCTTTGCAGTTTGCAGACAGCTAATGCAATGGAACCCTTTATAAATTTTAGTCACAATCACACCCTGGCTCACCCTCACTACACTGGTGCACGCGTCTATACTAATCTTGCTGCCGAAATTTCCTCGGGTGTTCTGCTTGTTTTTTATTTTCCATTAGAGTTCGCTGACAAGGCTATCGCTGCTAGTGCGAATAACAATAGACTCTTCTACCTTTCTCAATAAGCATCACAATGAATCCTGTTAATATGGCCAGCAATCTTACTGTCTATAGTCAGAACGGCGGGCTGAACTGTCTGTCGCAAAGCCCTGATCAGCAAAATCACCCATATAGATCACTGAATCATACACTTCTGTTTGTATGCCATAATACTGACCCTCTAGGTAGTCTGAAAATTAAAAACAAAACTATGCTTTTTTTCCACGTAACAGTCGTAAGTATCTACTACCATAACCCTCTTATTGTTGATGTAATGATTATCCCTTTTTTTTTTTGAGGTGTTTTTTCTTTCTGACTGATTGTGGATAATAGTATTCCGGTCACAAAATGTTCATGCTGTATACTGTTTTTCTATTGATTACTGACTTTCATCTCATCTATTTATAAAGTACGTTTTCTCTATAGATTTCACGTCTCTTTTGGTTTTAAAAGTATAAGCCAAATTTCCTCGATAGACATTTTCTATGTAATGACCATTCACTGTCTACTCCTAGACTATCCAGGATTTACGAAGGTTTACCGTTGATCGTTACGTGTCGGTTTTATATGCAGATAGTAGATAGTAGAATACTTCGCTTTAGAGATATGAATATCAGTTCTAATTCATCAAGACAACAAGTTTATCAAACTTGTTGAAATGAAAACATGGAACACGTCTGTATTGTGTTAAAAATGGGCCAGATGGCACCACCCGGTGTGCCATGATCTAATCAGCGCTTGCAGGTTAGCATTGTTAGTCTTTGGTAATGCTTCTCTTTTAAAATATTTGCAACGGTGTTTCCAAAGACATTACCTTTCACGGTAGAAGTTAGCTTCCAAATGATGTGACTATAATTAGGAATAGTGAAATTTATAAAGAACGTGCAGAATCTTCCAGGCCAAGTGCTAGTGCACCCGTAAAGCACACTTCGGTGCGGAGTACTTGAAAAATAAACCACGGATGTGCATCGGTCACGGCCATCAAAATAATCCACTAACAATGCAAATATACATTGTGTACGATTTTAACAGGCGGTCTACCATTATATTTTAAAGTTCATTATACGTTTGTCATATTGCCGTGACTGCTTCGTAGAAAATAGATGCAATATTCCTGTGTAAGGCAAAGTTAACTACACCCGTAGCTATAAATATATGCGCTCTTTCTTGCCCAGCATTGCATAATATTTGGAATATGCAAGAAAACCATGGAGAGAATAACCCAGCTGTTGTGTTAGATTAGACATAGACATCGTGCCGTCGCTCAACAAAACGTAGAGTTGCGAAACTTTTTTAAACCTAAACTGCAATGTCGTACAACCCGCAAAGCCTAGAAAAATAAGCCTCTTTAAAGTCTCATTTTGAGCATGTTTATAAATGATTCTATTTATGCCAAGACTGAGCCCATTCCCTTAGCAGACGGTATCTTCGGCAACACCCCCGATGCGTAAACTAGTTCCAGCGCTTAACAGAAATTCTGTCGTTTCGGGTCTTCACAAGCATTCCAGAACAAGGAGTCCTTCCACTGTATACATAATTATCGACATTTGTGACCGCCTTGATCATGCGCTTGCTGATTTGCGCAATGTACATATGTTATATTATTAGGGCTTTGAGGCATACATAAGCTTATTGCAGGCATTACCTGCTCAACGCGCTTAATTTCTTGGCGGTTGTTGCAAAAAATGTCACGCCACACAAATTTATCATGATCATCATCTAAATCTACTAGGCTATTCGGTAACTTTGTAAGCGTGTGCGGCCGTATTAGAATTCACGATATAGCATGATGCGACCGTGTCAATTCGGTTGGTCGCTGCTACATCCACAATTTCCGTCTGAACTTCATATACAGTAGCAAAGAGCTATGTGGTTATCTTACGCATTAGCATTTTGAGCCCGGACGAGACCGTTGCAATTGTTCAATCCGATTCAGCGCTGGATTTTCTTACTATGAGACTTCCACACGACTCAGGCCCGTGCAAGCCCCCTGCCCTGTTTTTAATTAAACTGTACTGATATTGACACGGTCCGAAGGAAAGGCTCGACCCCGCTAGTGTTAAAACGAGCAGTATAAACTGCCATTTTTGCCGATATTGTGGCCTCTATATATAGATGCAGCAGATATTAACAGATAGATTTAGCTGTTCACGTTTAGCCCTGACGTTTTAGTTTTCCACGTCTGAATGTGTTCTCGCCGACTTACTCAACTTTCTCCTTAGTTTGCGAAAACATGTAGATTCCTGTCCGATATACAGTGAACTGCGTCTGTGCCTGATATGACAGGGAATGCTGCACTAAATGTTCGCTATATTGCCGTGACTCTCTATAATATCTCGAAACGGCCTCGCTTTAGGGGAAAGCCTAGATTAACTGCACCGGCCACTGTGTTGCTCAAATTTATCTTCCGCACTAGAAACAAGTTATATCGAATATAATTTAAGACTCATGGAGCACTTGTTGGTTCCTTGATTGTATTAGACTTAGCAGAATGGTCCGATTGAATCTCTCGGATTCCCTGTATAGCTTCTATTTCAAGGCTAAAAGGTGGTGATAACATAGTTGAAACGGATAACAACTGAATCACTTTCGGCTATACCTTGTTTTTCAAATTACTGGATGCTAAATCATAAATAATTGTAGCCTTTAATGGTATCTGCTGCATAGAGTTTCATGTCTATATTATATTTAAATGTTGACGGTTATATTGACGGTTCGTATTTACTATAGTCTACCTAATAAACCAGTCACTGGAGGCTGGCTGGCCTCAGGCCGCACCGTTATGAGAAACAGAGTCACAAATAGCTAAACTCGTTTCTGGTTTAATACAAGAAAATTATGGCCAACAAGTACTTCTGATCTAACAAATGCTATCATTTAACTAACTTCGGCCATGCTTTTCTGCACGAAAAAATCTGCAAGCTCTTAACAGCCGTCGTCAAATAGCATCGCAGTAAATTTGTTCCTCGGGCTTATTATCCAAAAATGTGGGCTTGTGTTTACTTTAGCTACGCTTCATCAAGTTTATTCCTTGGTAAAAACTTTTACCATGTTGTAGCACAGAAAGTAACACGTGTCATTTTTTCAGGAAGCAGGCGAAACACCCGCTTTCCCTTAACTCTGCCGTGAGTTAGCTAATTCACTGAAAGACAGTTGACCAGAAATCTTGATGCTGCCTAAAGTCTCTACCCTGATTGCTACGGTACGGTGACGTGCGACATTGTGGATTCAGGAAGCACAAGGTTCACGCCCACCTTTTGAGTAAAAATACATATTATTGTATTATTAAATAGGTCTAGGGCTATTTGATCTATATGGCCTTAAAAAACATTAATTGGCTAAAACAAACTTCTTGGGTTTCAAATTTGAAGAGATATGAAATGTTCAAGGCTTTAGTCGGTTAGCTTGTCCACTTTACAAGTTTATGAGGCCATTGCATTGACTGACGTTAAGAAGCCTAATCGGCACAGTACACTGATTAGACAAAAAAAAAAAAAAAACTAACCAAACTCAGTTCACCGAAGACATGTTCCAAAATGTTTACATTAAAGAACACAGACACATTTTTTCTGAGAGCACAGAGCATACTTTGATACACGTCGAATATATATTAACTAAAATTTAGTTAAATGTAATTTTTTTAGAACCACTTCTGAAGACGCTAGTTTGGCTATTCAATAGCTGTAAGAGTTTAGGCTCTCCGGTCACTGCCAGACATTTTGTACCAAACATTTGAAATATATTTTCAGATATTCAGCGCATGCGCAATAGCTGAAATCGATTAATGTGGTTGGACAACCGAATGCCAGCTTGCGCTCGCTATAATATACTTTCGAGTTGGCGAAGCCCCGTTTAGACCCGTTGAACTATCAAATGTGTAAATAACATTTTTTCTTCTCGATGATATTTGTTTTTCGTAGCATAAATTCAGCCTAGCTGAGATGTTGACCGAAATAAGGCTCTCCAAGCAAAGGTAGCCCCAAAAGACAAAGGCAACAAATTCAGCAATTTTGTGTAATATACCATGCCCACCGAGACATGCAAATAACGTCTTTGAACTTCCTGGATTGCCATATTTGTACGTACGATACCCGTCTGTTGTTAAAACAGTCTGCGATACCAGTCCAAGTTTTACTATACGGATTTATAAAAGGTATGGCTGAAACCTAGATTAATCCGTCGGATGATAGCAGCAGCAGCAACAAAAACAAGTAAAAACAGACAGAAAGGCCCAACACTCGAAACCTTCGAAATTAAGGAGATCAGGTTTATCGAAAGGACTCCTTTACGTGACGTCCTTCATTGCTCTACACTTTTATGACAAAAACCCATGACGCAGACACATCCAGGCTTAAATTCTAACTAACCCCTAATATGCTTTCGCTGTTTTCCAAATCCGAACAAGCATAGCAGTATTCGAATAATAAGCTGGACAAGGCTCAGAGGGCGCTATGTCGCTGAATAGCATACTTAGTATTATCATTTTATGTTACGCTGCTCGATTGGAAGAAAAACATTGGCGGACGTTATAACATCAGTTAAGCATCGCTATAGACAGCGGCAGTAAGGGCCTAAGCAACTTCCTAGAAATCTTGCTTTTTTAGAAGGCAATCGGTCAACGATTGGCAGCAATACAATTAAATAAAAAGGTTTGCTTGGGAAAACCTAATGAATATACATACCCTGCGTATCAAATCCAACACCTCGTAATACTCCGAGTAAGTGGATTTAAAGCTTTAACATTTACCAAGAGATCTTATAAAGCTGTCCCTTAAATAAATCTTTCACGAAAAGCCTTAAAGGTGAGTAAGTTGGTTACTGTTGTACTAACTGTTCACTGGCGCACTTTCTATAATTTGGCAGAAGAGCTGGTTCCACGTAGAGGCGATCATTTAGCGCAATTTTATTATGTAATCTGGTACAACCTAAAGTATTGCTATGACTTATCCATCTTGTAAAACTCACTCAGGCACGACAGATCTATGGGACCTGTTCTGCAACGATGCCAGATTCCGTGCGTAAGAGATTGTCTGCTTAGTGACGGATTGAACAGTGCCGGCTCAGGTCCTAATCCTCTACCAATTTTTGACAAGCTATGTAAATTACCCTCAGCTTTCTCAGATGAGAGTTGGAATAATCTACTAAATGCATTTATTCAATAGCAGTTCTACAAACCGCACTGCCTTGTGCTCTTAAAGGTTTTGCACTCGTTTTAAAATAGGTACTTATTAGGTTACTTATTTCCATACGAAATAAGCTAACGCTTGAGTGTCTGTAATACCGGATAAGGCAAACTGTTCTATGCAAGCAGACGAAGTTGACGTTCTAATAAAAAAAAAAAAAAAGCTGTTTTGAGCAATTGTAACGATGTATGCACCTTTAAAATACGATCAGCCATAACTTGTATATAATGCACAGAACACACAGGTGGTGCTTTGAAGTTGTGTGTATCTATTTGCCAGATAAATCATTTATCGACGAAACGCAGCGCAAGAACGTATTTACTCAAGGGATCTGCAAACATATGCACAAGTTACCATATTCAAATAGATGTTTAAACTTTGATATTACATTACAGCAAATGCTACCATTTACGGAGTGCGACTGTTCGGCGGAATCTGTTTCGAGTACGCAAACCGCTTTGTTGATACGAACAATTAGCTACCTGGTAAAGGGGCTCACAAGCAAATTTCTCTGATGTCTTAATTCCGGTCAAATCGGAACGTAATGTTGCCGGAATCTGTCCAAGAAAATTGTGGACAAATGTTCTAGCTGTCCTAACTGAGTCCGTACCAAGTAAGAACAGCCTCTACGCAAAGTGCCCGCGTGTTAGTTCTTAACGCATAAACTCTTAAGGCTACAATTTGCAATTTATTTAGTTTATTAAAGGTTTTGGATTCGCCTAAAAATTGCGGCCAGTTATGGAATTTGTTTAGCAAATTATCTGGGACTGCGTTGTCGTAATCGGGCTGAAAAAAAATTAAAAAGCTCAGCTAGCTGAGATAACATTAAATAGCTAAATAGTTCACTTCAAAAATAAAACTAGGTGTTATGTGCTTTGAGCCCTTTAATGTGATAAACTGCAATTACTAAGGTAGGTCTTTTTGAAACATGCACTAGCAATCACGATTTTTGTATTCATCCAGGAGCTGATTAAGGCATCGGTGCCGTAAATATACGTGGACAACGAATACACTCATCACCAGAAACCGGTGCGTACTTTTGTAATCATAAATTAGTACTACAATGGGAATGATTGTGTTATCCAGACATTTTTAGGCACGGTTTCAACTCAAAAGAAACACTCGGCTCTTCATGGATGCATTATACGTTAGTATCTGTACGTACTTCTCTATCAATTAAAACAGCCTTTAAGATGTACTGTAAACGACGTGTTTGCTGGTAAAAATGTATCACTACAGAGACCCTTAGCCTTAAAGGATACACACAAAATTCTGTACGGATAAATCGATTTTACGAAGATTCAAATCATCGCGGAAATCGTAGCGTTTAGTTGAAGCGCTGAAGGTCTGAGAGACCTATTTCCCGTTCCCATTATATTTTTAACTTCTAAAGTTCATATGATTATTATTGTTACCGGTAGTGCAGTAGTTGTGGCAGCACAAAAAAAGTGAAATCCACTAAAAAGTCAGGAACTACGTCCGCTTTGTGACAACTGCTTTGAAGGTTTACGTTTGATAAGCGTCTATAAGCCAGAAAAATCGCGCGAAACAACTGACACCTATGATGTCAAGCCAACTTCCGATCTTCTGCGTACCCTAAGGATACCACATTTTTATACTTGCATCTATTTTCATCTTTATTCCATATATTCCTGTGGGGTGCTACCGTAATGTTGGTTATAGCGATATGCCAATAAATAAAGAAAATGCGTTAATTATCAAACGCAGCCGCTGGATTATTTTAAATAATACAAAGTAAGCCAAAGTGAACCTTTTTTAGTAGTTACTTGAACCTACCATAATACATAGTTTTGGCCGGTACGGACATACGCTGCAGTATCATATGGAAATAGTATGGATTCTGTTCATCTTTCCAATAGGTAGGAGCTATTGGCACGATGGTACACTAATTCTTGTTGACGCTAAGTCTGCTATGGGAAGACAGGGACGTTCGGTGATGTGCCCACATTAAGGAAGTACGCCGTAATATTTTCTTACAGTAAATACTAAATAACACGCTGTTTAGGAGTGCGTTCAAGCAAATGGACCGTCATGCACCAAACGCAATTTTTATCCAATGAAAACAATTATGGTATCAAACAGCGATGATAAGGATAATTAAAACAACAATTTTTTAGGGATATTTCATTATTTCCATGAGCAATGTGATAGTTAAGGACGCGTTGGTCAGAAGCGGTACTTCAAAAACCTGCTACTGATATCCACCAGACACTAGCAATCCATAAAAACAGCAGCCTGTCACTGCTATTCGTTATTATAAATGCATTGACACTTTTGAATACGTTCATAGGTGTCTAAATAATAACATTGACAGGCAATAACTTCTAGTCATCGTTAAAACTATTGTGAGAATACTCTTGTCTTTAAAGCTTTCTTTAAGTTCAACAATATAGATTAATACTCAACACAGCTCCTATGTAATCATCCGGATGTATAGTGTTTGCCTAAGCATTGTTTTGTTTGTGTGTGTTGAATCAACTTCAGTTGCAAAAGGCGATTACAACTGGGTCTGCCCTATTTGGCACTCTAGGCACGTTTCTTGCGCGGCGTCTCAGCGGAGGACGGGTACACACCCTCTATAACCCGTTTTAGGTAAGTAACACAAAACTTCAACAGTAGATAGATACAACAAATTGAGCCAGATTGAGGGTTTCGGTAGCAAGCGAAAGTTATACTAACAAATCGTTTTTGGATAATGTTTAACGTTGGCTTTGCAGGCGCGTATACATATGTAGAGTCCAGAGAGTTTTTCATTAGTATGACGGTGTGTTTTCTTACAACGTTTACAAAAGGGTTAAGCAACACTTGTCGTTCCCCAATCTAATTGTTCAATTTCCAATTCTCTAGATTTGTTCTTACATGTAAAATTCGGTCAGCTTTTTTTGCTAAGTATTCTATGAATATATGATATCTGCCTTGAGCAGAAGAAGACATCAACCGAGTGATGTAGTCAGATCGAATTCGCTACGGATTAATGAGAGAGAATTGCATGGCGGGCAGATATAGTTCATGTTTCCATTTTGATGCCGTAAATACGCTGGTCGAACATTGTACGTTCGACGTTCTCCATGGATTCTGTCCGACTTTTGTAGACACACAGATGGGCGTATGTATGTTCGTTGTGTACTTGCTAAAAATCAAAGGGTCGATTTTTAGACACTGTGGATTCAACAAGGGTAGTATCAAAATTACAGTGGGTGATCACTGTCTTTGGCACGATGTAGCGCTCTGCCCGAAAACTATAGCATCAACACGAATCAGTCTGTCAAGTGAAAATAAAAACATGGTCCAATTGCACAGTCGTTATTATCGAGAGCATGCATGGTATAATCGCTCGTATCTACAAAACAAGAGCTTTTTGATCTAACATTTGAACTAGAAAAAATAATCAGTGGCAGCTTTTCGAGCGGGATATAACAAGTGGCAATGGGTAATTTGGATGGAATGATGTAAAAAGTGGCTCTGAAAGAAGTTTCATAAAATGATCATCTTCAAGTTGTAATTGTCCATTTCAATAAATGATAATTTTTACTAAAACAAATGAAATTCATATCGCTTTTGATCTCCCATATATATATATATATATATATATATATATACATATGATTTTTTCAATTATTCTGAACGCTGTTCTGTGTATTGCTTATATAACCTTTTGATATTTTTGCTAAGACAAGTGATTTGAATAAGATCTGAATACATTACCATCGATATAAATGTCTATTTTAATTTTTGCCCATTAACAATTTCCAACTTGTTAGGTTGTTCTTAACGTAGAAAAATAGCCACTCCTACTCATACTTAACCGCAATGTATATATATTTGATGGTCGGTGAAGTACTGCCGGTTTTAGAGCCAAAATTAAAATATTTTTTATATTTTAAAACGATATTACTACACTAAGTATATGCTATTTCGATCAATGACATCCTGCTATTTTTTGGTAACGCCTTAATTCTATTTGCAAAGCCTTGGTGGCTTCATGTGCCCATTCGAACTAAATACAGTACCATCAAAGGAGCTACGTGGAGATCCGGGCTATACGACCATACCACCTACCAAGGGCACCACTGAAGTTTACCACTGAAGTTTTCTTCATTTTTTAAAATATGTATGATTGACGATGTATGTAGTCTGGAATTTTCATGGGTACTTCTTCTATTCAACTAGTTTCTGTGGATTTTCTTCAACGGCTTTTTAACAATGTCTGTCGCTGATAGCCACCAAAGGCGTAACATTACCTCCTTTGGCGTCAATTCGGACTTTGTCACGGGTTAGGGAGCTCTCATTCTCTCTGAACATGATCTCATTCGCACATACTTGTCGTATGTGAGCTGCCGTTTATTGCCTATAATCAACCACTTTAGAAATGATTCGACTTAGCAGTTCGATGTTCTGCAGATTTGAGTATGATCGAACCAAACGTCGAGCTTTTTTGTAGCCAGCTTTTTTCAAATAGTTTAATTTCTGGGCGGGGTCTAACTATCGCAATCATTCCATGAACTTTTGTCCTGACTGGTCGACCACTATGAAAAACGTTTTTCACCTCGAAATTTCCGGACAAAATCACCTCAGTCAGTCAAAGCTGACGCAATAGTTTATGAGCTTAGGCAACATTTGTGTCTTCATCGTAAAACATTTATAAAATATATTAAATTCTACAGAAATTTCACTTAGCTTCAGGCCACTCTATCTGAAGTCTAAATAAAAATATCCCATTAATGTTAGCGCATCTACTATCTCAACTTTTAAATGATATCAACGCCTGACGGAACTCATATTATTCGTGATATGTGACTAAAGTGATGTAACCAGGGAAACTGTCAATACTTTTTCGGCAATGAACTTTTGCGTTAATATGCGAATCCTTCCAGTCCACCAACGGCGAACTGAAAAAAAAAAACATTTATATTTAAACACACTATTGATAATAACAATTAACTTACGAGGCGAAGTTCAGTACTACAGGTTCAGGCCGAACGTAACGCTATCAGAATACAGAAAAATACTACGAAGCATCCAAAGTGATTTCCACCTTCCGCGAGGGTTATCTAGTAAGTAACAGGTTTATTGTTTAGTTCATTTAGATTTTTAGTATATTACAGTTTACATGATGAGTATAACACTGCAGACTCTGTTCTTATATTAGGCAACTACCGTTATGGGTTCTTAACAAACCATACTACATTACATTAAACTGCAATCTTTAGAAATCTGGAGATGTTAATAAAAAATCAAATCAATGAATTTTGGTAAAACTCACAGATTTACATGAAGCTCTGTTACATTCATACTCGATAACTATTCAGTGTAGTCTCTAGGGTTCAAGGGACCGAAAGATTATTTTTAGCCATTTTTGTATAACTCCAAAAACACATAGTTTTTTGATTCTTTTTTTCTTATATTTTTATATAACATTTAATAGATATATTACATAACAGTAAAATTGCAGTAGTTTCCGTAAACGCAATATAGCGAAGATCTAGAATTTAACGTTGGCATAATTTTATAGACCATTATGCACTCGGATCTCTGTTTCTGCTGTTGTTTGTGTAGGGTAAATGAAAGAACTTCAGTTCTTCAATGGAGAGCGGAGCCGGAGTGTCTCCCATTAGGTCCCGACCTTCACTAGTCTTCGGAAAGGCTATCACATCTCGGATAGTTGGTGCCCTACATAAAATTGCTAGTAAACGATCCAAGCCAATCGCGAACCCGCCGTGAGGTGGTGCGCCCATTGCTAAAGCCTTTTGTAAAAGCAACAATAGAGCAATCAGGTAGATAATTAGATACTATGAAAATATCTACCTATGATTTTTCATAAACAGCAATACTTATATGCTCGTCAAGTTTCATTAAAAGTACATTCAAGCCTTTAAATCAACGGAAATCGTTGACATCGCGAAATGTCCTTTGTTTGTAATTGGTTGTATATCTGCAGAGCCAACAATAGAATATAATTTGGGCTTAAGATAAACTCTGCAACGTTTCTTTACAATTAAACAGTGCTTGCCATATTCATCAGTTTCCGAACACGACATAGCATTCTGTTTGCGGGCCAACCTGATAAGAAGACAAAGCTGAATTTCACCACTCTTATAAAACTTCACAAACGAGATAGTTAGTAAACAATAATACCGCCAGAAACTCTATAAATAGCATAGAATGCACGACATACCTCTAGTAGATGCTTCAGCTGTAACGTGTCAATGCAAAGAATATCCTTCAGAATAGTCCTGCAAGATTTTAGCGAGGAGTAGAATCAGAACAATGTTTTTTGGCTGGCTCAAGATGCAGTATTCACTTATTCTACAATGCCCACGGCAGCTGCAATGTATGCGAGGCCTACGCTGACTAGCTAGTGTGTACATAGATCAGTCAGATCAATGTTATTCAGGAATAAAATGTAAAAGTGGTTAGAAAATAATCGCAAGCCGTTAAAAAAGTACCTGTAAGTGCAGATGAGTAATGAGTTTTCGTCACCGTTTTAAAATCATTCATTCCGATTTGGAATATAATTATTATACGTTGAAGAAGGATCTTACTGCACTTACCGGCAGCGACCTTGTGCGCTCATATAACCTTGGAACTGGACAAGGATTGCTAACTATGTTTCATAGAAGTCACTTTATGGAAACTCCTGCGAACTACACACGAGCACAAAAGATTGCTTACGTTTGCATTGCCGAATCATGAATTCGAATGGATCCGCCTCCTATTTCCCAGCCGTTGAGGATGAGGTCGAAGTGCTGACCTCGAACCTTCTCTGGATCCGTATTAAGTAGTGGTAAGTCCTCAGTTACTGGAGCCGTAAATGGATGATGGTTAGAAACAAAAGTCCCGTGATCCTCTTTGGCGAACAGCGGAAAGTCGACCACCCACAAAAACTGGTAATCTGTTAATATAATATAATAATAAAATAAACATCCGAACAATATTATCCTGTTAAGTTAATGTTTCAAGTTTTTCAAGCACTGCTTGATCATCGTAACAGCATGTTGAAGCCGTCAAAAATACTGCGGTGATACTTTTTGCGTTTGCGAAACGAATCAGTTTGACACTGATTGATAGGATAAATCAGAATGAAAAATTTCTAACGTGCACCTTCGTATACTTTTATTTGAAGATGTTCACTGTTTCGCGGTAACAACGTTGAGTAACGTAATGTAGTCTGTTGCACTGCATTCTACTGAAAAGGTATTGTGTATTATAGCGATGGGCTTGAAAGTTTCTAGTAAATTAGCTATACAAAAACGAGATTTCTACCAAATATTCCACTAAAACGAAAAATTTTGCTCCATTTGTGATGTCAGTATGCATTGTCATCTCACCTGGTTTACCACTCTCGAATATCCCACTAAGTTGAGCTAAATCAGTTCGTACTTTCCCAAGAGTCCGCTGAACCGCAAGTTTTTCGCCCCACGCTACAACGATTAAGTCACCAGGCGATAATCGAGCTTTTAGTTCAGCTTCTGCGGCGTTCCTTGCTAGAGAGTCGGGTATGCCTTGCTCATCGACAGATATTCTGACCACTGCACGGATAATAGTAAGTCAGAAGCAAATTTGTGCGATGTTAATCATAGAGACGGTACAGAAAGGCAATCTACTGTGAAATTTTTATTGAGTCTATACCGAGACGAAAAGTGATCAACCTGATTTCATGTAGTAGCAGTGGAATAGCTGGTTTCGCAAAAATAAAAGAAGACGTACCAGCACACCTTCCGAATTTCTTGCTCGCTTCTCTCCAATTCTCCACGAACTGCTTTTTCACCTGACCATGTCCGCCTGGCCAACGGATCATTTTTACGGCGTGGTCCTCTTTGGCGACGCTTGGGAAACCTGATTAGAAATAAAAGCTGAAAAGGTTATTGATTGGAAAATCACCAAAATTCAGCCCTAAAAAGGCAGGACAATAAGAACTTATGAGGAAGCTCAATGTTTTCAATTTTTTGGCTCCTTATACAAATTAAATTGACAATTTAAAGAGATTATAAATGTGCTTCTATTTAACCTATTTTAGACGCTTGTTAAATAATAACGCATCGTTTTTTTTTTCTATCTTATTAAATTAGCGTACTAAAATTTTCCTGGAATTTGTTTAACAGGGTTATAATGTTCCACAAACCGTGTTTTACAAGCCCAGGGAAGAGTGTTTCAGCATCCTCAAGCACGAAACCGTACCGAATATCTGGCTTGTCCGTCCCGTACTTGCGCATGGCGTCGCTAATAGGAAATACACAACGCATTTTCAATTTATACCAACGCAACGCCGTTTGTAGACGTTTGACTATTTCGGTATAATGAACTATAAGCAATGAAGGTAAACGAAAAGTTATTTTAAATGCAGCGGCGCAATCCATTGTTTTAGATTACCTTCGGGATCTTATCGCTGAGCTACATATTGAAACCAGCCTTTAATGACTTTATTGATGCCTTGCTTGCTGTAATACCAATCATCCGTAAACCGTGTTTCCTAAATCTGATAATCCTTCCAACCTGGCTTATCAGTTTGCCGTCATTTAGAGTCATGTTGTCTGAGAGCCATGGCCGTACGAAAAGTAGCATGGAATGAAGATGATGCCATTAAATTGGCTGTATATACTTCCTGTAATTGCCCGGTTTTATTCGAATTGGCCACCCATAAGAGTTAAAGGAAAAACGATTGCATGGACCAAAGAAGACAAATCAAGAAATGCTCAACTTCAAAGGAACGGGATTTGTTGTATATGCCGAATTCATATAAGAAGCAAGCGCTTAACCATCTTCTTTAACATAAAAAGTATCTATATTAATAAACGTGGCAGGTCTGGCACTTTGCCTAAATAGCATAGAACAAAATGATGAATAGAATGGAATTATTAAGCTAATCAATTTCATATCAACTCAAATACATTTTACCTATGTGTAATGACTGGAAAGCGATCTTCAGTGGGAAGAGGCCTCGGCCACACAGATCGGACGAGCTGTTCTACGGCTCTCATCACATCCTGCATCGTCACGAAAGACATTTCGAGATCGATTTGGGTGAACTCCGGTTGTCGATCAGGCCGGCCGCCTTCGTCACGATAGCACCGAGCAATCTAAAGAAAATATGAATAACTTGGTTACCAACTATAACTCAACTTAATTTTGGCATAATGGGTCAGACTTACTTCATCTAGACGTATTTTAGGTGCAAAGATCCTGAACAAAATTCTTGTAACTTCTATTCGGTAACGAGTTTAACAGATGGGCACAGCGACGCAAACATTCCGACATAATTCATTTCACGCATACATACAGTCATAACGACAAAACTAGCAGCTTATATATCTGGTTCCATAATAATTATCTACCTGAAAGTATCTGTCGACACCTCCGACCATTAGCAGCTGCTTGAACTGCTGGGGACTTTGTGTGAGCGAGTAAAACTGGCCGGGATACGAGTGGCATGCGACCGGAAACTCTTTTGATCCTCCCGGTGTACTACGGAAGAGTGTCGGAGTCTCTACCTGTATTACGAGAATTTCGAAACGTGGGTAAGCGATAAAAAAACACTCCATCAGATTTTTTTCAATTATCGCTAAATATTATTGCCGAATACACTATTGTATGGCATATTTATATATGATAAAAAAACGCGTTGAATTTCTAGTGTCGCATGTTGATTAAACACCGGATTGTAAAAGCGTTACCGAACTAAGTTCCTTGAGAATCTTCAACTAAATGATCTCTGTATTTGTATATTCAGTATGTTCTAACTTAAGACTGTTCTTCTAGTTACCTCACAGAAGCCAAGCTTTTCAACGAGATGTCTTCGTACAGCATGTGTAAACTGCGACCGCTGTCTTAGATTTGATTGCATTTGTTGATGACGAAGGTCGAGAAACCTGTAGAATAGGCCCCTGCTAGCACATCAGACTGTACATTTTCCTTTGAGAAGGTCCCTCAGTTTACGAATAATAGTTGCAGTGTTATCGCTCTGATATAATATATACCATCCGAGTGTTGCGTGCTAGTTTTATTCAATTTTTTTCGCATCGAACGCTACCCGAATGGCTAAAAAAATGCGCAGACTTTCAAGTCCGATTTTATCAACTCCTAAACAATCAGGCTTTTCATATTTCTTTTATAGTGTAGGATGAATACCATATTTCTTTATCGCGGAAATCAATGCTATCTGTACGTAGTGATTCACTGGATATATAAAATCAAACCGGCATAATGGAAATACCTCATCTGCAGAGAAATAGTAAATCGCATGTGACTATTGCTCAAACTTACAAACGCAATCTCATAATGCCACTTAAGTGTAGAGAGGCACTCAACTTGTAACGGTTCCTTAAAAACATCGTGTAAGCGCTAAACTGGCTTCACTTTACCGGTATTGTAATCGAAGAGCCTCGCTCTTTTTTTGATACTCGCGCGGAATAAATGGTAGACCTTGTGCATTGTTCAGTACCGTAATCTGCTCAGCCAGTACCTCTATTTCTCCCGTGGACGTATTTTGAATCGCCTGGCTTTCAGGACGGCGCCGCACCTGCCAAGTATTTTGATTCATAGATCGTTGACCTTTCGGTAAATTCTTCCGTTCCTCTATCGAAATTGGAAAGCTTGTGTTTGACCTATCGCGTGTGTTGTACTGGACCAAACAGATTCAATGAACCGCATCCCTATTCTGGAGCGTCCAACCAAGCTATCATCATACCTGGTTATGTCTAGTGGCGCAAACAAAGGGAATTGAATTTACCAAGCACGTTCATCAGTGATGGAATGGTGAACGGTGGAACTACCGATCCTAGTAACCTACTCCCACTTCGCTTACTGAATTTCGTCAAACAAATTCTGAGACAGAATATAAATATCTGTATTACAAGTCAGGGCATTTGACATTATTTATTCACTTGATAAAAATACCATGGTTATCAAAATATTATTACTGCTACTACGCAAGATGCTTGTGAATATCAACTAGCAATGATAAAGTGTGCAGAATATTTTCACATACCACTCCTTCCACCTGTATCACACTCTCGAGGCCAAGACTCTTTACGAGGTTGCTGTGAAGATCCTTATCGAATACAACCTTAAAAACAACAAAAATTATTTTAAGCTATTAACGTGGACACTAAAAGAAACAAGCCTACTTTGTTCAATAGATTATATCGATTGGCCACATTAAAAAGTCTTGTGGAAGATAAAAATTTTGCATAAAATAAAAGCATAACTTTTGGTTCCTGTTGAACGAAAAGTCGATACTAATTCGAATAACAAATTTTGGCCAACTTCGTAATTGGGTTGTACCTGTGTAACCCCATAGCTGTCCCTTAGTAAAAGAAAAAACAGCCTCTTGAAGGAAACCCATCCGCAAAGGACCACGCGGCTACCCACATCGCTAGCACCCAGCTGACCGCAGGTATGACTTCGTCCTAGAGACACGAAATGCATAAAACATAGCATCAGGACCTTCGTTTCTTAAGAAAAGAAACTTCTTAAATTCGATCACCAGTTGCAATAATATTTTTATATCAATTTCATGTGCCGTGGTAGACAAACTTGATTATTTTTGAGCGCAATTTTGCCTCGATAAGTTCTTCTTTCAAAGACTTACCTGTGAAGTCATTTAAACCAGGCGCATATTCAGCATATGTTCTACTTTCTGTTGCTTTTGCGCCGCTTGAGCTCGTCAAATCATTTCGGGTACTGAAAAACGTTAAAATGCACGGCTGAGAAAACTAAACTGCAATTACGATATATGAATCTGTACTCGGTATTATATTTATTTATTTTCTTATTTTTGGGTGATATCAATGGGGCAATTTATGAACGTTTTGGCGAGATGCGACATACGTAGAAGTGATTTTCATATTGAGAAATAAGATTACATTTTATTTCAGAGTAAAAATTTAAAGTAACGCCTAAACAAGAATTAGAAGCTAAGTCATTACGTTAGATATAGCAGGATTAAATTCAAATAGCTCATATTACTTCTCGATAGCTCTTTCGTGAGCAGCCTTATCTTGAGACGTTGTTCGAATATGACGAACGAATTCTACGACGATTTTGCTTGACGTCTGACGAGTCCGAAGACCCAACATAGGCCAGATACGCCTCATTGTCTGCTGTAGCGACATTGTAAAAGACCGACGAAACTGTACTTGAACACGTTATTCCAGAAATGACAGCAATATGTCAAAAAGCTGCTACCCAATAATTCTTCTTCTGTAACACATCATACAATAATAATAATAAGTCACAGGCTAAGATGGCTTAGAAAAGTTCACATCTCTTTGTGCGTTACCATAGAAACTACAGACAGCTACTAACGACCATCGCAAGTAAATCTCAGATATTACCAAGAAATTTTTACTCGGATATGCTACTTAGCAATTTAGACCTATTGCAAAGAAAGAGGAAAGCCCAGTTATACTTTTTTAGTACATTTTTAACTACAGTTTGAAGTAATTTGAAGAAATAGACAAGGCAGCTATGTCTTTAGCTGAAACAGCCAACAATCGTTAGTCTCACAATGCGAAATATATTGTATATATAAAGAGATCGCTGGCTCAACCCTGTCACTGACATATACTACACGACCCAATTAGCTAAATAAAAGTATTCCGAAAACCCACTGTGAACGTCATAGGCTAGTCCAAGCTAAAGAGCCACCTCACAGAAAATGTAGTAATAAACTATCATTAACGATCCTGATATAAGCCGGCACTCACATGGTTTCATTGCTTCCACCAGGTAAGAGCATGCTGATGTGACCATTTGCGAATCTAACAAATGCATGATCATATAATTGAATCAGTTTCCTTAGCGTTGTAGATTGCAATAGTTACAATGCACAGAAACTCTTTTTATTAAAATCAATAAACAAAAAGGAGTCCTTCACATGATTGGCGGTACGCGACTGTCTTCACTATTCGATTTGCAGTCGACACAGATGGAGAGCGCTGGGTGATGCAGGGACGACTAGATATAAAAATGTTTGGCAAAGTCTGTTTTTGCGGTGCTGTTGATGATCTGTGCTGACTTCATTGTCGTAATTTGACTGCTTGGTAGACTGGGACGGTGCATAGGTTCTAAATAGAGATGCTATTTTTCCCGAGAATAGCAAGAAGCGTTAAAAACAGCCTTTACATATCTTGCTATTCATTTGCTGCAGACTAAATGTAAAAGACTTAGCATCAGAGTTAGTCACAAATGCTTTATGGGAATAATCAATTTTACTTAAAGAATGATAGCAAAGCTTGCTCTGGATTCGTTAGACGACCAAATTCGTACATGGTTTGAAATTACAAATCATATGTAAAAATATGTAAACTAAAAATATTTTGCTACTTAGCTGACCTATAAATAGATCCATGTAAATAACTAATGACTACGAATAATATCTTATTATAAGAATAATTATTAATATTTAAAAAAAAAGTTCACCTGCTGATCTTACTCGAATGTGTTTTAAAACTGGACGCAAACAAAAAGAGCGGTAATCTATTTCACCTACCGTACAAAGCAGTAATGATCCGTTTAAAATTCTCATCGGTCCTGTCCTAAGCCAAGAAAGGGAGTTACACTGAAACGTTTGAAATAACTATTTGCAAAAATATTGTGCTGAATATAGAATTTATATTTGAACAAGCAATTTTTATGAAGCTCAAAAGCCATCTTTATCCAATATAAAATCCACAAAAGGATAATCAACTGTTTCTAGTATGATAATAGAACATAAGGTGACTTACTTTGTTATCCACGCTTTCCTTCGGTCTGAAGGCAGTATACGTTTCTTTCATCGATAATTTGCCCGTGAATGAGAGCAAAGAGCGTTGTGTGGGATTTTTGTACGTGTTTCCAAATAGAAATATCAAGATCACCGAAATAATTAGGTTACAAAAAAAAAGAAGGATTACACTAGCTTAACGGTATAGATTGGATACATTTAATCCAATAATGTAGTCTTTCTAAATATGAATAGAGTCTGCCGCTTTCAGCTGGAATACATAGATCCTGGTAGCAAAGTGCACAAGTGCACATGAAAGCTCATAGTAAATTGTTTTTGTTTTTCAGTCTATACATATCGTGTCTAACGGACTAAATTTTCACGTCAAGCCGTGCATGCCAAACATGACAGTTGTTGTTTTACAGAGAATTTATTAGAGAAAGTGCAAATATATAATATGAAGCAATTCTTATATGCAGTACTTGAAAACAACTGGTGGTATAGCCAAACAAAAAATAGAATTATGCGGCTGAAACTAATTACTACAGTTACTTATCTTTGAGACACTGTCGGTTCGAGAAGACACCCTTATCGTTAGCCCGTATGGCTCCATCAGTGGAGTTTGATGGGCCGGAGGTGAAACTTAACAGGCCGTTAATGCTTTCGAAAGAAGAAATCAGTAATTCAATAGAACTGAAAAATTATGCCTTTCTTTCTGGAAACAGCTAAAATTATGGCTAAAAAACCGACACTTCATAGCCATTCACTGCCAAATCGGGCAGATCACGTATTATGATTTGTCTACCATATATCTAAAAGGATTCTGCTGCATAGTGTAAAGTCGATTGTTGGCTCCGGGTACTGCCACACTTATGACATATTACGTGAGAAGAAAAGAGGAAAAGTAAGTTATGCTCTGAGGCCACTTAATTCTTTAAATTTCTAAATTTACCATCGACGCTATTCGGTGTCATATATGCTTGAACAACAGCCCTAGAATAAGCATGTAACATTCTTACCGAAATAATTTTTATAGGGTGCAACATGTTTTTAGTTTCTCTTCGAAAATATTGCTTTGATAGAGTTTTATCGCTAATACTTTGGCAGAAAAAGGTGCTTATTTTGCTTCTTTCTAGTTCAACAAAAGTCCGATGAAAATTTGCGAAAAAAATCGTTGTCCTTTCATGCATCTTAATTTTTTTAAGATCGGTCAGAGAAAAAATCCAATAACGCGAATTGAATCAAACCTGTGAACCGAAAAACTCCGAACTTTAACAGTATTGAAATTTAAAATTAACGTTCTCTTACTATAGAACAACGGAGTGGCTCATATATCTCTTCTCCCATATAGGTCCACCTTCCCTTCTTTTTTGCTGAGCCCATTATGTTGATAATACGCAACTTTACAGCCCAAATGCATTCAATACGAAACACTTAATTTTTTCCAGGCAGTATTTTAACTTAGTGATTAACTTTTATTCTTTTTACTTTCTTCGAATAATCACATTTTTTCACCTCTCGAATTGTACATCGCCATCTGTATTTCGACAGTCCCCTCATCACCTTTAGGACTCCTACTATACATTAATAATAGTTATAGCAAATACTCTTCTTAATTCATCAATGACAATGGCACAGCCGGTGACAACATATAGTAACGGTGTAATTCAAAATTCCTCTGTTCTAGGCAATTGATTTCTATATGAAGAGCGAAAGGTGGTAGCAGCCCCTTACGCAAGTGATCCATCTCCTTTTCCATTAAGTAAGTTGTATAAAGCACACGATAAAAAAACAATCATGATTCTAACGGATCGTGTCTAGGGTATACATAGAATAATTACTTCAGACCTTTGTCAGCCATGTTTTCCCATAATTAGTTTTGTTGTTTCTGTTGTTGTTGTTGTTGTCGTCGTCTCGAACTCGTATAGGGATTTCTCTTTTTGTCGGCATTCATTTTTATAATATTTTCGCATTTTTGATATCTTTTCTAACTTATCTCTACACGCGAGGAACAATGTTTTAGCCTAACTACTTCTTACATATGATTTAAATTAAACATTACAACAATATGGCCAGGTGTTGTTGTTGTGCACTTGTTCATGCACTGGTTTGATTTGTTGTTATTATTACTATCATAATCGATGTTTGTGAATTATCATAGCCTCGAACATTCACATATTTAAACATACTACTAGCTAAATTTTTGAAGTTTCTTTTTTGATCAACATCTTAAAGCTAATGTGAATTTGGCTTCTAACGTGAACATTTTTTTCCATTTCTGTAGCCGTCAGAGTCATTCATTAGCTTCTACTTTATCATGTTTCATGTTTCTATAATGTTTCTTATTATATTCTTTCTTATACGTTGGGCCCCCATTGTTAATAATGTATAATGCAACTAAGCTAACGTTTTATGAACCTTACAGATGCATATATTCTATATACGATTAGGAAACTATAATGCAAAGCAATAATAATAATTATTGTTATTATTATTACTATTTTGCATTATAATAATATATAGTAGTCATATAATCGTTTAGTTACCTTTTTCCAGTAAGAATTAGTAATAATGGTGGGCATAACGCAGTAAAATAGAGTAGCAATAACGATAAAGCTCGTAATAACAAGTCCCACGTTGATAAAACAATTTCATTCAGTGTTGTTTCTACTGTCCTAGTATCTTCCGTCGGCTATTTACCGTCAAGTTTCTTTTCGAAACTGTTAGGTGGCCAAGTCGCCTCATATTATATTACGCACAGATCGTATTCAAATTCCCACTAGAGAAATTTTGGCTTGCCTCAACTTCCAACAGTGAATGAAAAATCTCTCATGATTTTCAAAACGCAGTCCTGTAGATCATCATTGATTTAATGAATGGCATCTTGTAACGTTTTTACAGCTCAGCACACGACAAATTTAACTTTCTAAAGGTCAACGTTTGGATCCAATGGTAAATTGAGCTTTTATTTTGATTTGATGTTGGTCTATGTGTTGGTTTTTAATATAATATATAATAATATAAATTAGAAGACAGCGTTGAGAAAGTTCATGGGATAATGTTTTTTCTCGCTAATTTTTTTTAAAGGGACAGGGAGGCTGATCATAATCTATAGCACGCTAGCTACGTGGATCATTACTAAAGTTAAGATGCGCCTAAATTTCACGCCTAATCAGAGCAAACAACCAAGTGTAAAAACGACAAACAAAAACCTTGAAAAAATAAACAATAAACCTAACAACCTTGCGTTAATTTCACAGAAAAGTGATTAGGAAGAATGCGTAAAAGGAGGAGGTCGAAAGACGTGTCGTCTGCTAGGACGATAACGGCAGGAATCCACTGTTCAGATTACTTCAAAATGCGCGGTCAATCGTTAACAGCAGCCAACTGTTGTCGGGCAATCGGGCATCACATCACATTTAAACACTGAGCCCTCAGAAAACCGATCTTCGTGTACCAGCCACTTGTCATTTGACGCACACGTGTTTCGCTAATATCATTATTTTTAATAATCGTCGTAATCTTCGCTTCTTCCATTCAATCTCATCACCCTGGCGAGTTTTACCTCTGCCTGACTAGTGTTCGAGAATCTTTGGCGCACCGCATTTTCATGTCGTAAAAAAGGTCAAGGCCCACCCAAATTTTGTCGCCTCACTACTGGAGAACGTTAGCTTATCATAACAATCGCTGTTCACGGCTTTATCAGATCTCTTACGGTCATCATTTTAACTATCGCTTCATCTGATTATTTTATCAAGATCTCTTACTTCTGGTGTTCTTCAATATCAAGCGATTTCCATAGTGATTTTGAACCGCGCATATTCGTTTCTAGCTTTTCGTTGTTTAGCAGTTTAAATTACTGGTTGGTCGTTCAGTTATCTCTCTCTCTTATCTTCATATGAATAAGCTGACCTATTACAGCCCGATCACATGTTTCTTTTTCGTTTTCGCAAATGTGTATTATTATCGAAAATCTGTTATGATGTATTATACCGACGTGAGATACGATTCGTAGCTAGTAAATCCTCGCGCAAATAAACTGCAAATTGTGCGCCATGGTCGTTCAGTCTTTGAGCCCAAAGATCCATGCGAGTTGAGTTTTCGCACCTGTATCACTGAGTGTGTCGATAAGCCAGAAAAACCACCTTCTCTTTGATACTGTCATGGAACACAAATAGATTATGCAGCAGCTAAGCATTCAAGACGTTTCTGAAATTGACATACGCTATTAGTACCTTGCGCCAACACTGCATACTGCATTTCTGTAGCAGGCGCACATCGTCGATAGAAGCCCCGTGTAAAGAAGAGACTGCGCGGCACGTTGCCAACGTTCTAAATTGCGTTCGATAATGAGTCAACGTATTTTGCACATCTTCTCGCAATATCGTGACGCACCACTGTCGTAGTGTTCAAATAAAATGCTTTCGAACGCTTCCATATATTATTCGGATTAATTTCATATATAACGCTTTCGAATTCTATTAGAGATGATAATACTAATAACAGTAATGATCGTACCTTGTGGTAATGGTAAACATAAAAAGATCGACATGCCAGCGGTCCGGTAGGCAATAAACACATGTAAAGAATATGATGGACAGATTAAAGCACTCGTTTTTGCAGAATGTTTCATGTATCGCACGTCGGATTGCTGTTGGATTGGGTCAACGTCCGCAGAGGCCGCAACGTCCAGGCCTACATACGCGCGCTAGCCAGCACGAGTTAAAAGAAATTTCCCACAATATTATAACTGTTGCTCATTAATCGTTAGAATGTACAAAGTAGATATGCTCATATCTTATTGCTTTTCGCACTGTTTCTGCTGCTGCTGTGCAGAATAGAGGCCAGGGAAAGTTTAAGCGGGGTTGCTATGCAAAAAACTACCGCTCTCTCCGTTCAATGTTCCACGCCATTAAAGCGAGAAGTTCGTAATTTGCTTAAGTAGACAGAATATGCTCAAGTAACTTTTCAGTCGCACTTCACACGTCACTTAATTTTGCATTGCAGGGTTTTAATGGCCTTAGTTAATCGTTCTTCTGTTTCTACAAATTCGTCTGATGTAAGAATTTACCATCTAGCTGCCATTTCCACTCTGCCGATCAAAAGAAAAGGTAGTCAGAATGAAATTCTATTGAACACACGGAGCAGCCGAAAAACACAAGACACCGAAAGTTGCTTCCAGCGTGATCGTCTTGTAGAGCATATCGACACCGGACAGAACGATAACGACTGGAGACACTACATCATCAGCATGTCCCTCGTTCACATGTTGCTCATCGAACGACTGCCGACAGCAGAATGTCAGTAGTGAATAGATAAACTGACAGAATGTACAAGTTAATTTGCGCGTTTCGCACCTTCGCACGGTTACCGATGCCGATGCTGCTGATTCAGCAAAACCAATGAACTTTTACTGCAGCTGTTATTCATGCAAATGCGATTCAGAGTAAAAATTGCGAAGTTCATGCTTGGATATTTGTACGACTATAAAACACTATATTGTTACTGTCGATGTAATTATCGTAAGCGTTTGACCCATGAACCGCTTCCTTGTACCATTGGGTCTAGTGAGCTCAAATCGTTTCGCTGTTATATATATATATATATATATATATATATATATATATATATATATAGATCTAAGCTATTTGTTTCGCTTTTTTTATATGAAGACTGTTGGTGTCCCAGATGTTTATAATGTTAACGCGCAGTAGCCTTATCGTAGAGTCTGTTCCCCTTTCCATCCTCTGCATTGCCAGTCTGATACGTTAAGATTTGTCTTTTTTTTTTATTAAGATTTTTGTCTGTTCACCTTCCTTTCTAGATATCTCTGTCTCTCTACTGAGCCTTGAGTATCTGTTGAGTGTTCGTCCATGTTCTCTGATAAAGACGTGCGATACGGAACCCGTCGGATAGAGCGAAAAGTAATGCAATCGCAGTAACTGCATGTAATGGTTTTAATCATTATAGCACAAAGAATGCGCCAGCTGAACACGTTGCAGGGATTATGCCATCACTGGCGACGTCTTATGCCATATGATTATTATGCTGCCCTCTGTCGCTGTTATTATGCATGCACAAAATCGCTGCAAATGTTGCTTTTGTGCCGATGCTAAATCAATATAGAGCTAACTATATCGTTATGAAGTATTATTAATGACTGCAATGTTTCGTCGAAGTAGTCGTTGCAGGAGTAATAGTAGTTGCAGTAGTAGTAGCAGCAAATACATGCAAGAAACGTTTTTTCCGAGTTCCTTTCCAAAGAGGAATAGGAGGCTCGTGACACCCATCCAGGATCGTCAGTGAAAAAAGAACCGATTAACAGACGACAAACCGCACACGAAAACAACCGAATTCAATAGGAGAGAAGCGCGCTACCGACTTAGACCGAGATTTAAAGCGAGAAACGTGTCTCGGTTCCGTCGGCAAGCATTAAAATGACAAACTTGTTGGTGGGCCATACAAGGCGAGCCATCTTCAGTGGATTGCTTTGCGCCGATTCAGGCGGCGGTGGTGCGTTACATGTTCGCAGGCATTTTGTTTGCGCGTTGCCTAGTCCAAACAAGCCGGAGGCCGTCTGCCAGAACGACAGCTTGTTGTCTCCAGCCGAATACGATGCCAGGTATTTGCCTTCGGGCGAGAATGCGCATGCCGTCACAGGGTTGGCATGCGCTGGAATTGTTTGACAGCGCGCTGCCTTAAGTTCGTATAAGGCAATGTTGCCGGTACGCGCACCGACAGCGATCCGGCGAGTAGCCCCACAGTGCGTAACGTTGTGAAAGCGGCATAGCGGTGGGAACAGCTCGTTAAGCCCGCGCATTTTCAGCTGTGATGCGTCAAGGCAGTGCAGCACAATATCCATTACTTCGACCAGCATATCGTGGACGTCGCCCTGTGAGCGCTCAATGAGCATTTCGACCACACGCAAAATTTCAGGCTTGGCTCGGTGAAGCACCGTCTGCGATAATGTTGTGGGCAGCGTCTGGGCGTTCTGCGCCAGGGCGTTGTAGCGGTGCACTTCTTTAGCTAGCGTCGCTATAAAAGCCGGAGGCCGTGCTAACGCTATCAGCGATAGAGAATAACGCGCCGACCGACATGAGTCAGCCGGAGGCGTTAACGGTAAACCATAAAACATCGTCGGCACGAGCCGATCCGACTTGCAGCACAGATCCAGCAAACCGATCAGTACGCGGGTGACGTCGAGATGGCTTTCCCACACGGTGAATCCGCGTCCGATCAGGTCGATGGCGGCACGTCGCAAAGACGTATGCGCGGGCAACTGATTGCTTGGCGGACTGAGTAGCAAATAACTGAGCGCCTGAGCCGTGTGTCGCGTGAGGGAAACTTCTCTCGAAGAAGGCGGTACAGTTCGTCGTTCGAGTTCCAAGCTGCCGTATGTCGCTCCGATGACGGCTAGGAGAACGACAGCTGTTGATTGTTTACGTTTAGCTTCTGTCACAGCTGACAGAAGTTTCATTCTGTCCTCGGCAAACTCATCGTCATCCGACTCTTCGGCATCCTCCTGTGTTACACCTCCACTGGCGGCGCCCATTGGTCCACCAGCAGCTGGTTGCTGTTGTTGGTGCTGGGCAAGTGGAGCGCCTCCCGGGTGGCCAGGTTGTCCAGGCAAAGGCGGAAGTTGATGCTCGCCATAGTTTGGAAGAAAGAGTGACCATGATTCTATGACCTTCCGTCGACCTTCGCTTCCGATGCTCCGGAGTTCGGCCAGCAGCAGCGCCTGCGCTGCCTCCCGAACCTCAAGGCACCGGTCTTGCCAGCGTCTGGCCAACATCTCAAGTTGTGGCCGCTTGTAGTAGCTGCTCTTGACTAGCTCTGGAAGGAGAACACAATGGTGAGTTGCGAGCTTGCTCCAGCTCTCTTTAATAAGTTCCTGTTGATTGTTCGCTGCCTGAGTAGCCTCCCGAAAGGGCTCAGAGCCAACTCGGCTGTCGGCACGACTCAACTTTCGATTGAGTTTCCGTCGCCGCTCTTGTTCATCTATAAACGTCGCACTGTTCATAGACATGAGCGTGTTTGCGAGTGAAATCAGACTTAGTAAATGGTTTGTAGTGATGGCTTTAGCCATCTCCCAATGGCCACGTGCCGCAAAGCGTCTAGCTCGTTCTTCCTCTATGAGGATCTCTTTCCCGACCGCTAACGTTACAGAGCGCCCAGACTCGCTGAACTTGTTACCCGTAACATTGGCAGCCGCATCTGTCTGAAGTATTTTAGCCGGGTACAGTTTATACATATGTGTTGGCAGAAACAGCGCCATGTGCCCGCTGCGCGAAAGCAGGCCAAAATGTGCTGGCCTGATGGGTGAAAGCAGACCTAGCTTGGCCTGGCACATCTGATCCAGGCCGATGTCCAAGCCCCAAGCGTGCAGCTGCGAGAGAAGGAGCTGCGCCACCTGCATTGTTTGATTTGTTTCGGCGAACATAAAGCCACCCGGCTTCGATGCCGGCGACTCTTTATCGCCTTTGGCCTCGGGGGCGGCGGCTGCCTTAATGCCGACGCTCTCCGCGGTTGCTTGTGCAGTAGCTTGAATCTTAGATGCAGCGGACTCGGCGGTGTCCTTGACCTTCGCTATAAACCCAGCTAACTTCTTGTTGGCATCAGGCGACGATGCCAAACTGTAGTACTTGTCGTATTCCGTCTGATTTATTAGCCCATGGGATTCAAGTGTACCGGGCGTCATCTGTGCGTATTCTTCGCTCAACAACTGAACGATCAGTGCCTCGATATCAAAGAAGAACACATGACTATCTTGCTGTTGGCCACAGCTGCTACCGGTGAAACCGGATCCGGTAGCTGGTAGAGGCCCACCAGCCTGGCTGCTGCGCAGACCTTGAATGACAAGCGGGTGTGCGCGGAAGCGCAGCGTGGGGTCGTTTAATCGCTGGTTATGGGCCTCGAGCGTGTGATGTAGTTGGACGAGGCCACGCTGAGCAGCGTGCTTAATTGCCGCCATGTTACGATGTCGCAGACCGCGCAACAGATGTAGAGCCGGATTAGAGATCTTGTCACCAGTTGAGCTACTGGCATGCTCATCACATGCGCTTAGGATATCATCGGCCATCATGCCTTGCACAACCCGATCCAGGTGGCATGTCTCCATTTGCCAAACATACACTGATCCGTCGGAACAACCGACCACCATAAAATCGTCGAGTGGTCGCCACTTGATTGCTGTTACAGGAAATAGATGGCGCGATGCCAATAAAATACACTTGCGGTCCCGGAGATGAAGCAGAGCTACGGCGTGGTCAGCGGCTGTGCTACAAATGCACTGCAGTATACGTTGGTTGCACGTGTCGGGTGGCACCTGCAGTTGCGTAATTTCGCCCGAGTGTACCGAAAAACGATAGAGCATAGTTCCGCTGTAGAGGTCCCACAAACATACGGAGAAGTCGACCCCGCCTGACACCAGATGGGCAACGTCGTAGCGGGCGTTCACGTTGTGTGGGTAGAGCAATGCTGTCACTCGGCCCTGATGACCCTCAAGGGTTAGCACACCGCGGCCCGCGCCTAACTGCCGCCCGCCCCAGAGCACCTGCGCCATCACACAGCGGATTACAGATATAATGACGATGGAGCCATCGGATCGGCCACACGCCAGCTGTCCCTGAATCGGTAAAAATGCACTGGCAGTAATGGCTGCATTGGGTTCGCCCGGAAGCTCGAGTCCGTCGAGCAAGCCGACCGGCGGTGGATTTAGCTGGTCCCAACTCGCCTGAAGCGATGTACTGTACGCTGGATGAATGAGCACAGGCTGCTCTCTCACATTGCTTAGTTCCGGAAGTTCATGCAGATGCCACCGGTAAATGGCGCCATTAGCGTCGCCCTGAATAAGGTACTTCTGCAGGGAACTCTTCGTAATTAGAAAATAATCTGTGGCCGGTGAATGAACGAGATTTGGCTCAGCTGTCGCCTGTAGCACAGAAATACATCGAGGCTTTTCGACATTGACAGTACGGAATTTGGCCGTTTCAGGCACCGCCTTCTGCGGGATCCGGTAGATATAGGCTTTGCCAGTGTTAGTCCACGAAATAACCACATCGACAGCCAGAAAACGGCCTCCGGTCCAACGTTCGCCATTGTAAGCTTCTTGTGAACAAAGATGAGAAAAATCACCAGCGTCGTAAACGTGCCACGCAAGCGGGCACACAATTAAAACGGTGCGTTGGTTATACATGCAGCATGAAAGGCATACGGCATGATAGCAGTCGATAGGCTTTGACTCGCCTTCAAAAAGGACCCGCCCTGTAGCAAGTGCTTCCGTTTCGTCTACACGCCACACCTAGAAGAAAATAAGAAAAGTGCAAAAATTAGAGAGATCTTTACAACTCCTCAACAAAGATTATAGGACAGAAATCTGAAAAAAAGCAGAAAGCAGAAATCGAATATAGCGCATATGATTCAGTAAGCTGTTGAAACTGACGCAAACCATGGTTTCACACAGCTGCATACGGTAAAGCATATTGGCATCGAGGACGTGCAGTTGTCATCATAGCTAACAGAAATTGTTTCACTGGCAACAACATTTCAAAATGGATTTTATTTCATATCGAAATCGCAGTTTGCTGTACGTGATGTAAAAGAGAAAAAACAACTAAACCCGTTTTATCACTCATATATGCTCACAGAATTTTGAGCACAAATGATTTCCAATGTTCCGTCATTCAGTTGTTGATACGATGGGCTGCACCACATCTTACTCCGTATAAACACATACCTTCATGTAGCCCGTAGAGCTAAGAGCCACCAAGATATCGTCATTGCGTTTGACGGGATGGATAATATCCATGGCCGCAATCCAGTCCGAATCCACCCGAGAACTCAGGGTGAAGAGTACTGAAAGACTGATAACGAAATAGAAAACTGTCAAGTAGGTTAACAGGTAAAAGAAATACGAGCATACGATTTGTTCGAAGTGTTTATAGAAGAAATGCTCGCTTGATAAAATTTATGAACAAGAACAAAATAGAAAAGATGCTTACCTGACCATATCCATAACAATTATCTCGGCGTAATGGCCACAACAGAACAAACGAGGGATTTCCGAACCCGTTAAAGTGTAAGCCCGGATATCTGTGTGCACCTGAATAACAGGAATAATATTTTGGGATAGAAAACAAAATGTGCTAACTTCGACGTTATTCCTTTAATATCTTATACAATGAAAAGCTAGCACGCTTAAACATAAATGATGCAAATATTAGTTAATTACATTATTAACTTTAACATTAATGATAATTATTATTATTGCTTCGGTTATACCTTCGAAAAGGTGCAATGAGTGATGTACCTACCTAGCTAAAGAATTACTTAAGGACACCGCTATGTTTTATCGGAACTAGATGTTTTTGGAAAATTACATCTTTGGCGATCTATGCAAGCTTTAAAGTTTTCGCGTAAATCAAAATTGCTGTAAGTTACCTGTAGCAGTTTGACTGCCTCGACACATCTGCAGTCATTCATATCCCACAGGGACATCTCACCGCTTTCGGACGCTGACACCAAGAGTTGTTGTTTCGTTAGCGTGTTCAGTTCCGTGGCCAAGCATGCCACCTATTTAAAAAGGAATACGATATTAAAAAAGATAGTACGGTCTCTTGTTGCAACCCTTATCCATACCTGTAGCGTTCTCGTCTAGTATAAAGATTCAAGAGTTTTCACTTTCTCTACTGTATTAAAAAGAAAAAACACACAGTATCTACAGTGTGCAGCTTGATCTTAAGCGCATCAGACACTCAATCAATTAACTATTTCTACCAACATGCCTTTTACGCACGTTAGATAATTACGTTTGAATCTTGAATTCGTAAAAGTTGACTCGAGGTTGAAGTCGACTTGAGATGAGAATTTCTGTAACAAAAGTGTCTAAACCAAGCCGAAGTCAATGGATTGCTGCTATAAACTGGTCATTCTAGGACTGTATTGACGAGTGCCCGGCTAGCAGGTCAGAAGCCATTTTGTGATTACTTATAATGGTCACCAGATGGCCGCTGACTTCAGATAGCAATGTTTTATGACTAGTTTGTCAACATTAAGCCTATGACTTTAGACTGAGATCACTAATCTCTGATTTGGCAGCCAGATGCTAATAATCTCACTGTGTGGCTAACGCAGATAAGTAAAAATCCTAAATGAAAGTCCTACGGTTACGATGGTCTACCTACCCTCCAGTGCTTCCATTATCACAGCCGGGCCATGTCATAAATAATAATAAAGATATCATACAATGGACCTGTTATATATAGCACATTCAACATTGTCTATACTTTTTCTAATATGCGCGCTTCTCATTCATAGTTGGGGAGTCCGGTAACTTCACATGTTCGAGACGGTACGTTCTTCTAAAAATGGAATCACTTATGGCAACGTCAAAGAAGCATAGACTGTTCGTCAACGGCATTTCATGATGACAAACTCCGACGTACTGATGCAATAGACAATTAAATCATAGCTAAATTTCCAGTTATAAATATGACTGCACTTGTAAACTGTTATTTAGAGAGGGATACTAATTGCAAAGGGCAGCAGGTGCCACCTGTAATAATGTTTCCATCGTAAGTTAACCCTCAGCCTGTGCAATGGATGCCATCTCAATTGTAAGTTTCTATAAGTCAAAAATCGGATAAAATATTTTCCGATTATAAAGCCTTAAAAGCAACGGTATTACTTTACTATAGTACTTGAACAAGTAGATTAACTTATTGTATATTGCTTATAACATGTACATTGCACTTTATATGTTTGTTGGGTTCTGAGGAATGCCCCTTGTAATTTTGATCAGTATTGTTTTTAATTTTGTTCTAAGCGAAACATGTACCTGCAACTGACTTCCACTAATCGCGCATGAAAATCGGCAGGCACCTCACAGCATATATCATCAGCCCAAATTGTCTCGTACTTTAGGACTTCCATAGAGAGAATCCTTCATAATTTAAGGACAAAGAAAAACTAACATTATGAGATAGCGCATCTCTATCGAATGCGATGAACGTTCGGTGACTATCTAGTCATTGCGTGCGATATCCTGTTCGTATGTGAGTACCATCAACCACTGACCCGCTAATTGCTGTTCTTTCTGAACTTACCTTGGATGTGTGTCCATGGAGCATGGAGCGCGGGATCAATTGCCCGTCGCAATCATCCCAAATGCAAAGCTGTCCCTCATGGCTTCCCGTAACCAGAGTGGTGTTGTCTTTAGTTAGCACTACGCAACAGATTGAGTGTGCAGGTGCCCGCCTACCCCAGATGGTCATGGGGACAACGAGCTGGCTACTAAGCGCCATTGTGTCACCGCCGACGATCGAAATCGAGTGATGGTGCGAACTTGGGGGCCCCGATGAAGGCTGCTGACTTGAGCCGTCAGTCGACCTAGACGTAGGATCGTTACTGGTCGAAACTGCACTACACCTGCCAGTTGTAGTTAGACAGGCGAACTAATTGGCTTGCTCTTTAGGCCGTACGCCCTAGAGCAGACCTAGGAGCCGTTACCACGACACCAGCAACAATCCAGCACGAATGACTGCAACTTCATCGCCAAATTGTCACAAGCCTTTTTGTTGGGTAAGCAGGCCACATTAAGCAAAATGAACGTAACCCACGCCCGAACAAACGATCAAACAGAAAACGCGGTAATAATGAAAACACAAATGGCAAACACATTACAGGTTCACGGCATAGAAAGGGTGTTTCTTCGGCCTTTATGTGCAATCATTCCACACACTGCTGCATTATATATTAGCGTACAGACATCGTTGTGCAGTCCTTTCTGGACAGATGGAGGCCGCCTGCTTTTAACGTCGCAAAGAGCTATGACTCTATTAATGACAGCAGTCACCTGATTGTCTAGAGGGCGCTCGTGCAGCGCGCGAAAGCGAAGGAATTTCAAAGCGAGGAGGAAAAGACCCGCCAAATTACTATCTTTCCTTTGTACTATATGTCAACACATATAAACAAAGGTTTAAAAACACTATGAAGACACTAAAAATTGGATGGGTACGCAGAGTGCCGCAGAGTACGCAAACTCAGATGATGGTAATGAACTGTTGGCGTTGATTATATTCTTTTGTGGGTAAATTAAACGAAGGACATTTGTGAGCTAAACCTTTCGAAACAGCTGAATTCGGTAGACTGTGAAAGAAATTTGGGTTGGCTTTTGATCTACGCTGAATATCAATTATACCTTCAGCACCATACTTGCGAGCAATTTTTTAATAACGAATCTGTTTTGGAAGTTGTAGAATCCTCTGTATGCAGCGAACAGCTTACTACCAGACTGAAATAAATGATTTAATCAAATCTGGTGAATTCTTGCCTCAAGTTACCTAAACTGAATTACTTAACAGCCCACGTATACTCCAGTTCGGATGTTTCCATCGGATACGATTTAGCCGAGTAAAGTACAGATTAAATTTAAGTATCATACAGTGAACGCCTGTTCAAAAATTTTCCCATTACCCTATATCGTTTGACACCCGCTGTAAATTACTGTTCACGCTGCATCAATACAAAAACATTGAAGTTCCTAGCCTCAACGGCCGCTACTGATCTAACACTATTTGTAGGACCAAGCCTGTAACGAGGTATTGATCTCAGTAGGGAAGTCCGGTTTGATAGCCGTGGAATCAAAGTAATCTGAAGTTTTAAAATACTTACAAGAAAAAAGACACCACTCAAATGCTTCATGAATCTAAAAGCGTAGACATGGCTTTGTTCCAAGTGTTACAGTCATCCTTAAGGGACTAGAATTCTAGAATAGTCTGGTGCCCAATAGAATTAAGGCTATACACAGTTAATTAAACGATGGCACTTTAACAACCCAATTAAAAAGCTATTCGTTGTTAGGCCTATTAAATATAAAGTAGAAATCATCGCATGAATAAAACGCTTCTTTAGTATCTTCATAGTGTTCCTTTATAGTAAATATTATATCTATCATATGTTTTTGGCGAAGGTATTTTACCGATACTTTTTCGTTCATATATTTAGATTTTCACTACTTAAACAGTTAACCATACGAGAAAATATTACTCCATGATTCAAATATTCGAAGTAAATATTCAGGCATCAAGTAATAGAAAACATTCAGCTGCTTCTTTAAACTTGAGCGAGCGTGTCATTTAGAAACAATATGAGAAATGTTTCCTATCATAAACTACCTATTGTTTAGAACATAAAATATATTTCATCTGCTATATGAAAAAAAATGTGTTGAAACGTCTCCGCAAATATAGAGAACATTTTATAGTAAAACTTGTTCGAAGTACATTGTACTTTAGGCAGAACGGAGTTTTGAGATGTATTCCCTTTCGATTCTTTTCATTTCAGAAACAATGGTAATTGTCTTAGACAATAAAATTCGTTTTTAGCGGTATCATTTGCTAAGATGCTGATGACGATAGTGCTAGCGAATCCCTTATGATTAAATCAAAATTGTGTCGATTTGCATAGCGGCCATGCCTGATCTCAATATAAAGAACACGCTCCTTTCCAGGACTTCTGGTCGTTATCATCTTTTGCATTAGTAGACGTGGTACCGAACAGCGAAGTGCGAGAGTAGATGGGCGAATGCAGTGGTCCACAAATTGTCGTCAAGTGATCTATCTACATGCTTTCTGTCTAAAGTCATGCCCGAATATTGTCAAGTTTTACTTCTAAAATGTTCAGTGTATCTAGAAAAGCATTCCGTTGTTTCACTCTAGGCCGGTCTAAAATGTCGTGAAAACTATTCAGTACTCCAAGGAAACAATATCAGTTTGTTCTATGTGATTACAAACTGCAGGCAATAATATCGAAAATAATTTATTGCACTATTTAGATTTAAGAGCATGTTGCATCTAAGGAAAAAAGACTTAGAGATTCGACCCATAGCACCATTACGCTCTTCACTGTAAAAAATAATTCAAAGCACTTTCGTCGCCTCTCGCTACGTATTTCAATGCATAATGTCCGCATGATATGCGCTCTCCTACATCGAAGTAGAAGTCCGGCCTGGTAACGTCATTTATCCAGTAAAACCATCTGCAAGCCATATCAATCAGATACAGTCGGCCGACCATTAAGTCAGTCCCTCTTTTTCACTTTGATTTACCATCTTCGACGCGGGTCAGCGGACAATATGAGTCGGCGGTACCCGGCAAGATACCCACTCCAGAAGCAGAGTAGCGGCCACATTCAGGACGGATGTGACGTTACAATCCACTAGCGCTCCAATGCTGGCGCTCAAAATTTCTGCAGGTCATTTATAATTCGTAACCTATTTTTCTGCAAATCTACTTAATCCTAGCCTGACGAGATGTCGCCATATTCTTGTTTAGGGACACAAAAAAAAAAAACCTTTACTGACATTGGCTCACAGATTTAGGGCTTTGAGGTTCACTGCCGCCATCTTGGCTAGCGCAGTGACGTTATGATTGTGTTCACGCGACCATCCCGCGGGTAGCAGCTGTGTTTGTTGATGTTTTGGCGTGTCCGTGCGCAGGCTTTGATGACTGTGTATTGTTATTATTATTGTAGACGTGGTAGCGGCTGCCGAGGTGCTGCTGCTATGCGCTCTGTTATTGTCTATTTTGTGTAGTAATGTTACGTTCCTGCACGGCAGTGCGTAGCTGCGCTCGAAAACTCCGAGAAACGAATAACGATCGTCAAATCGAGTTCGCATATGCTCACGGGGTACAGGCAACGTAGAATTTTTGCAGTGCCGCCCTGTCTCATCCGTTCCGCTTACTCTCTCCCCCAATACTATCAAGCGGAAATTGCGAAGGGCAAATAATACTAATAAACTTGGATTTTTGTGTCTGATTTTCATGTTGCGGGTCTAACCGTGATAACACTAACTGTCGGGGCTATTTGTTCAGTCGATGTGGTTGTCCGTGACAGCGTCATCTATACGAGTAGAGACTACGCTTCGAACGTAATCTGCTGTTGGCATCGTATAGCAGGGAAGGGGCAGCACGGGTAACTATTAGGGAACTAGCAACGCAACGTTTGACACTGTTCATCGGGGCTGTGAGTTGGTTCATCTCCAACAAGTGCCGGCGGCCGCAGCGAGAGTTGCATTCGTAGCGACAGATATTGTTTTTGTTGTGAATACGCCACAGCGCGCCCGCGACGACAATAACAACAACAAAGACGATAACAAGCAGTGCAGTCATAACATAAGCTACTCGGAAGAGAACCTGCTGCTGTTTTTGTTATTGTTACTGATTTCGACCACAGTCACCACACGAACAATAGAAGTAACTCAGGTGGTGAACGTAGGAACGAGCATTGCGTACGTCCTTCGTGCGCTCCGGCCAGCTCGCTTGCGGTACGGCGGACAACAGCAAACAGAGAGGACCAATAGACTTGTAAACTACTACCTAAGTGTGACTACTAAGTGAGTCTTAGTGTGTGTTGGTCTGTGTAAATGTGAGTGTATTGCAGTGGCAGCAGCAGCAGCAGCAGCAGCAGCAGTTTAGAATATCGTGTGCTGTTGCCGTCGTCGTCCCTGTTGTTGTTGTTGCTGTTGCTGTTGTTGTCGTCGTCGTCGTCGTCGTCGTCGTTGTTGTTGTTGTTGTTGTTGTTGTTGTTGGTGGTGGTGGTCTGTTCGCTTTTGGCCTCATCTCATAGACCATTAACTAACCGGCACTAGTAATCCTAGTGGTCCGCAACAGCAGTGTCTGTCCGGGAATAGTAGGACCAAACAAACAACTGCTGTTGCTTCCGCTACCATGGATGAACAGATGAGGCAGCAGCTGATGGTGAATCAGTTCGTGTTGATGGCAGGCTGCGCGCATGACCAAGCGCGCCAGCTGCTTCAATCAACCCAGTGGCAGTTCGAGGTGAGAAAGGAAGAGAACACATAGGTTCTGCAGATACATTGTTGTTTTCGCTCGAGAGAGTATAGAACGCCTACGCGTATAAATCACTTTCATAGTGTGTTCAAACTGTGTAGAAGTGGTACTTAACTGTATACAATAACAGAAGTATATACATTTTACAGAAGAAATTAAAGAAACCACCATACCCGTTTTCCACAAGATCGTATCGCATTTAAGCCTATATACACATTGTTGTCGCCGGCGTGTGTGTGTGTTTGTTTGTTTGTATGTCTGCGCGCATATATAAAAACACTCTTCTTGCTCGATATTCACAATATATATGTGACCTAATTAACGGGTGTTGCTTGTACGCAGAGGCGCGCTACAGGCGCCAAATGAACACGAATAGATTGGCCGACTATTAGCTTTATGGTTAGCTATTATTTTTTGTACCTAATGTACCCACTGACAGTATCAAGGCAATAACCCGCACAACGACTAAACAGAATGCGCGGGTTACGAATTTGCGTTTTAGCAGTAAACGCGGTGGCGGGCAACGACGGATGGATTACTGAAATACGAGCTATATCAATCATTTCTTTTTGGTTGGCAACAAAAATGAAAACAAACATGAGTAGATCAAGATGAACTATTTAACAAGTTAACGACTTTCGCCCGGTAGAATAGAAAACGAGAGGAAAAGAGTGCCATTTTATTGTTGGGAAATTCGATAGCCTTTTGAAGATAGATGGATGCGTTCAACATCATTGAATTCTGGTAGAATACCGTTTATAGGATGAATCAAAGTGAGCATCAAGAGTAACATCTAGTAATGAGAAAGTCGTTATTTCATATAATCGATCGATATAGGTGCTGTTGTACTGAACGTGTTACTCACACAACTAATCCAATTCTGTTAAAGTTCTTTGAGCTGAATGGTTTCAAGTAAAAAAGACTACAATGCAAAATATCGATTTATTCGACGTTCGTGCGCTGCCCGTATATTAGGCTTTGTTTAGTCTATCTTAGACATTATTGGCGAAATATTCTTAGTAGACTAATGTTTTTCCCGTCTGTTACCACGTGCTGTTTCCACGCCGTAGCGATAGCACGAGCCAGATAGCTTGTTTTATTATTATGTTGCAGACTAAGAGTGACCTCAACTGCCTATCTAAAATCTTTGGATAGGCTTTTCTTTGAATTTTCATTTTTCTAATCACTAGATGACTACAAGCCAATTACGGCTTTATTTGAAACAATTACTAAATAGAAGTTTTCATCGACGTTAAAAATAACTTGGTTTATAAAGTGCAATGTCAAGGACACGCGGCTGCTGCTACAGCTGTTGTGTAGCATTATTTACTCATGAAACCCGTAACGAATCACTGTTTAAATTTATATATATATATACCCGTGATGAATATCAAAGCAAGAACTGGATAAGCTTTGATTGGTTGACCTGCCAGTATATATTATAGAGGAAACCCAAATAGATTCTAGTTTTACAATTTAGTAAGATTACGTAAGCCTACTTTTCTTAGTCCGTGTTGTTAAAAAATCCTTGATCGAACCCGAAAATCTGCGCGCATGGTGATTAGCGTATTATATTGGAAGCATTATAGTTATCAACTACATTTTGACAAGTAATTATACGGATAATAAGAATACTAATAATGTACACAAACAATTTAAATATTAATAAATTATGGCTGTTTCACTCGGAACCTAGAGCACGAGTATGTAGGTACATATAATATTAGCAAATTTTCGTTTTTCATTTCGTTGTGTTTTGATTTTCACCAATTGCAGAAGGCGTTGAGTGTTTTTTGGGAGGAAGCAGCCGTCAACGTTAATTTTGGACCAACGCAATATAACCCGGTGAGTTTATTTATGCCAGTGCAAGATGGAATATATTTTGTCAAATTCCATTGCTGTATTTACTTTCCATATGTTTATTACATATTGTATTTGTGCGTTTACATTAATTACAGTAATATCTTTAATATATTCTTTATGTAATAGTTACCTAAAATAAAATTTCTGTAGCTTTAAAGCATAGTTATGGTAGAGAAAAAAAACTATTGATTAGGGATTTACGATCAGGGATGATGGCCCGAAACGTTTAATAATAGAGAATTTACTATCTGTTCGAATGCGAAAAGTCTACTTAGACGAATTGAATCCATGTTTCGTGTTCTACGTCGGGTACTGCTTAAGTTCAGCTTCAGATGGGTGGCCCCCTCTCAACTCGAAACCAAGTGTGTCGCGCCCCTTACGCTTCTAACTTAAGCCGTCTTACATGTTTTAGGTTTAGTACGCAAATACGTCACCACTGCAACAGCACCAAGTCAGACAAATTGCGCCTGATGATTTTACATATACATGCCCATTAATTAAATAGCTTCTATGTATTAGTTGTGCACGATCGTGCCAAACGAGGTGTTGAAACAACACCTGTTCAACTTTTTAAGTGTGTAGTCGTTTGAACGGCCATTGTTTATGGCATAAATGATAAACCAATCATTCCGTTGCTTTGACGGGATTGGTAACCGGTCGCGTTTTATTTAGAACAGATTAGTGTAACGTGAATCGCGGCTACCATGTTAATTTTATTTGAGATATAAACCCTTTTATCTATTTAGTATTTGACCTTATAATCGTTTTTGTCTCAGGTAAACACGATTACTATAAGCGTTTTTTTCTGCCAGTTATCTGGGGGTCCTAAAAAATAGTTTCAAATGCTGGGAATGTTAATCTTTCATCCATTAGTGATGTGTATGTTGGAATGGTTGCGTTCATTAATATCCACACTCTAACATTAACATTGATATGCTGTTCTAAACAGTCCACATTTCATTTCACCTAAGACACCCACTGAGCTGATGCAATCCTAGTCTTTACATTTGGAACAACGAAAAAAATCAGGAAGAACCAGCTATTTAAAATTGTCGGTAAAAGTCTCACGCGACTGTCGGTGCCTGGAAGCCACCCACATTAGGAATACTCGAAGTAATATTAGCAGTGCAATTTTAATTTCCGAAACCTTTCGACAAAAAAATAATTTTATTAAGGAGTAGCAGTTAGCACAGTGTCATTTATCTTGATATAATGAATTTATAATTTGGCGTCTGTCGTGCAGGTAAATGATAACTTACTGGACTAAAATTTTGTTAATGCGCAATGAACACAAACTGCAAAAGTGGGATGGAAATGAGCGCTAAGTCTGAGATATAAACAATCTGTCTGCGTCCCTGCTAGACTTCACGCTTAATTTTGCGAGTATGTATAAGCCAATGTCTTAAAACCAAGGCCACCCGTATAATGTGGTACTTGCTGCGTCCATAGTTCCTTGTCAGGCTCACAATTGAAAGCCCTAGGAAATATTTCAAGCGATCACATTCTTATAAGACAATAATATAAATAACAAATCACTGTAGTGACACTATCGTGCCGTTAAAAAATGGCTTATGGTTTTACATAAGCATACCGCTTCTGAAATATTGCGTATCGGCAGTGCCGAATATAAAATATTTTGGCATATTTAAGCTAGAGTTTATAATAAAGGGTTGTAAGTATTTTATGTGACATTATTTAAATTGATCAACGGTGTTGCTTTTGTAGAGTTCACCAGAAGCGTAGTTCAACATGTGTAGCTAACATATGCAGAGCAACCCTTCTATTTGGTAGACTCTCCGCATTTTTCTTACTAGAATCAATTAAAACCCCAAAAATAATGGAACTGCTTTTGTCGAGTTTTAGCAAACTGAACCGTAGTATGAGATCTATGTTATTAATATCGACATTTTTTGTGAGTCAGCGTCATCAATGCTTGTTGTTGCATATTTACTTCACACCATACTTACCCCATGTCCTGATTGTGATGAATCATCTGCAAAACTGATTTAAAGCTGTAAAATATCTGGCTTAAAAAGCATTCATAAAAGTAAATTGATATTTCCTTATAGCTAAGTTTTCTATTAACTTTCAGATATGCACGCCTGCCAATACGCCGGCTACACCGCCTAATTTTCCGGAGACGTTGACCGCATTCTCGAAGTTGTCGACTTCGCCAAATACCACCTCCCACCCTGACTGTCCCTCGTACCGGGGGCAGAGTTCACCTAAAGGTCTACAAGCCATGCGAGGTCCGCAGCACTCGCAATACCCGCAACAACATCACCAGCATCCACAACGAAACGCCGCTGGAAACACGAGCAATTAATTAATCACCGGAGAATGGGGGTGCATGAACATACAGGAAGATTACATGAACCAAGAAAATAGTCTACACAGATATGGGAGCAGGTAGCCCTTGGAGGAAGATTTGCGAATTCTTGATTATTTATAGGGCAAGTAAAGCCGTCTAACCCAGTCGGTCTTTTTTTCAAATAAGAAAAAAGATCAAAGTTTCTTGGTGTAGTGGCTATTACTACTACAGTGTCTGTGGAATACAGTTTATGCTCAGGAGATAATGTTGCCTCACGAAGTAGTCATACGTGAAGTTGCAGTGAGGGCCGGAGCGTAGCGCTCAGGTTGCACAAGCGAAAAACAATACAATAGCATGCAACATCTACACGGAGAAGTAGATAAACTTATTTACATACACACAAACAGAACTCTAGCGACATCTGCAGTGAGATAACGTCAAAAGTAAAATGCTGGTATTCGTGGCATCGGAAGTGGAAAAATGAAGGTGAGGCATCAAGATGAAATTAGCAACCAGGTGTACCTATTTATCCAGAAAATATTTTAGTTGTACGTTTGCTTTACTTGGTTGTAATCGATTGACGCTATCCAGTATAAGGTTGAACATGATCTAATGACAAAGGCTGTGAAAGAATCACTCGATTTCTCGCTGTATATAGAAGGCGTTGCCTGTCAGATCGGGAAAAAAGAACTAGATCTACTTGCATTTCATACTCATGGTATTTCCTAATGTCCGATCGATTGCTACATCATCTGAATGAGTTCAGTAATTAGTCCATTCAGCGAATCGTGGTGCACATTCCTTGTCCACGTTATAATTATTGTTCTCTCAGTATATTATTTCACTTCTTATTGACAGAAAAGCCTGTTATCATTGTCACAAACGGGTCTCTACACGAATCCCGGAAAGTAGTCGATGCTGCTAGAATGTTGCGGCTGCTTCTGTACGAGGCTGCCATTAACGTTGCGAGGTGGCAGCAACGTTCAGAAGGCTCAGAAGTTGAAACTCGAACTTATTCATGCGGTTGTATCATTTGCATGCTGCGGGCCTTCACGCAAATGCTGACATGAACCATGTATCCATTTATCAATTACATCTCAAACTAGATAACGCACCTCATTTATTTTTTCATTCGTTGTATCTAATGGTAAAGAACAACACCCATAAGAGTACCACTTAAAAATAATAACCTTTAATTTGATAATACAACAGATATACAGTTGCACCCATGACGAAACGACAACCCTAACAGGCGGTTTTCCTAATTTCATTGATATAAAATATTAACGCATATATATATATACGAGTAAGTACGGCAATGATGCATAATAGATATTCGTCAATACTAATTGATTATATTCTACGACACAGGTTATTAACAGTGAAAACCAAATGCCCAACCCTCTATCTGTGTGTATGTATATGTAGAGAGTAGAGCCTAATAGCTCTAGTTGTGTGGTAATTTGCCTCCGCTACCGCTTCCCGCGAGCAACAATAATATTCATATACATATTATTGATATTTATGAGATTTGAGTGTATTGTATAAGAACACATATATATATATATATATATATATATATATATATATATATATATATATATATATATTAGAACGTCGTCACAATGGTGTGCGATGTATCTATCGAACTTGAAGAACTGTCGAAACTAATAGTAAAAATAATAATGATACGTATGAGTATAACTGTGAAGTGATGATATAGTGAAGGTCTGTATATGTGATGACAACGAGAAACTTGTGGTAAAGGTTGAGCTCTTATCGCGTTGGAGATTTTCATTTGCATCGCAATCATTTCCATTATAAAACGTCGATAGTATAAATTGAGGGACACTCACACACGTACAAACGTACACGTGCATGTCAAAGACAATACAAAAGGCCTAGCTTGCATATACATGTGAAGCATTATCATCACCTTCTTGACACATGACTACAAATAGTTTATGCCACACACTATTATCTAATATTAATAACGTTTCAAAACACATTATTAATAATTTTTCGCCTGAGAAAAGATAAAGCCAATACTGATCCTGCGCCATCACCTATTTATTATTATATTATAGCTATTGACAAGATCATATCGGGCATTGTGTTTTGTTGTTGAATGTGACTTAGAACATGGCACTGATAACTGAGCAGATCTGACGACAATGAATGTAAAATACGTTACACAGATACGTGTAATAATTGAGATGGAATGACTGGCGTGCGTGACGTTGGCAAGTGGATGCTCGAGAGGCAGTAGTGAGAAGCACTAATGTTTTGTTTGGTGAATATTTAATTAATCATTTAAATTATTGTCATTAAAAATAATCATATGTAATGTGTGATGAGAATGATGATCATCTTCGGATGGTTGATGAAACTGGATCGCGTGCATAGCATAAAGCTCAACGAGGAAAACCTTTAGCATTCACTTCGATTACGTAGTAGTGGTTTCGAGCTGAAACAAACGAGTGGAACAGCAGGGCAGCTGCAGAAATAATAATGAGAACAATTTTAGAAGTAAACAGATAAAATATCTAGCAAGCAACCTTTGAGCGCCTGTTCATTTCAAGCAGAAGGCATACTTATCAGCCTTATTCGTCAATGGATCAATACAGTAATATCGTAAGTGCAATCTACGTTGGATTATTTGTCTTTTTCCCGCGTCCTTTTATGGTACGGTTCAAAGCTGTATTCGTATAATGTTATTATCTAGCGAGTTGATACAAATATGTTATAGCACGCACCAGACACTTACCTTTCATTCTATTTAATTTTGCAATTGGATATGTTTAGTTTCGTACATCGGAAAGCCATACTACCTTATCCATTTGCAAATAGTCGTGGAGACGGACATTTCTATGGTGGTTCTATTCGTGGCGGATTCGACTCGTGTTTAACGTTATTCAGAAATAGAATTAGCTCAATTCTCTTGTGTAGCGGGTTAGCTATAACAGTCGAGAGTTCAAAACCGATGATTGAGGACAAAATGGGGTTGAATGCGTGCTTATCGAATATAAGCTACGTTCAGTAAATGGATGTGCTCAATACACCTGTAGCAGGAGCCTCATAGTCGACAACCTCATAATAGAACTGATGTGGCCACTACACAGGAAAACGTATAGAAAAAAAAATGCTTAGTCAAGGGCATGTAAGGAAAGATAAAATTGTTGAAAACTTTTTACTAGTTTTTTTTCTTTTTATGTTTAAGAGTGGGCGTGCACAGCAAGCCTAACAGATATGCATACACAAGAATAAATGCACGGATGCACATATCGCTGATAATCTATTCTAGCAGCCGGGTATCGCTTGAGAACATTTACAGCTCTTACGCGTATCGAGTGATATCATCCGAACTAAATCGTTCGCTGGTGTTCAGCATGTATCGACACTACGTGTGATAAACACAGGAAGGAATGAAAAGGAGCAACGTGTTTCATTTATTGTTTCTACTAGATAAGAGTTGTCATGACGCACGCCATTCAGTGATATGATCCAAAGATCTGCGAAAGGGCATCGATACAAACGTCCCCGTCGTCTTGCGAATTTCTCGTATAATAGGAAGGACCAATTAAAATGAAAGAAAATTGATTGAGATTCAATGTTTAGCATATGCCTTAGTTGAGCGCCATATATCCCTTTTGTAATGAAATGATTCCAATCAGCATTAATTATTCCTGCCCTGTTGTGTTTTGCCGAAGCGTTCCAGAAGGCACTGCGAGATACGGCTTTGTAGCATATTGAAAAAAAAAAGATTTTTTATTCATACTCGTAACTTTCTTCGTAGTATACTAGCAATGGTATTAAATCTAGTGACTACATGTTAGAGATGTTTAACATAATATAGTATGTGCAACCATTATAACTCGAGATTTGAAAGCTTTGTTATTAAAAAGGCGTTCGAAGTCGGTGTTCGACATGAAGTCAGCAAGAAAAAGATTGATTGAAATGTATGGAACCGACGAAGCTCAGTACCTCATGGAAAGCGTTCCTTATAATAATAATGCTTACTAATATTGGTCTAATATTGTTATAGCAGTAGTAGCCGAAGTCGCAGTGAAGAGGCGTTCTAGGGCGTAGCAAAGTACCAAATGCTCATTTCGAATGAAAAACAACGATGTAATGATGCTTCTATAGTCGACATTTGACGCGTCTTGAAATGTAGTAGTAAAGACGAAATACGAAAGACCGCAATATTTAAGACGATGTAACGTATGGCGCCAAATTCATGCTAACCCTTTAGATCTAATCGATAACTTGGCAACTAAGGTTCGACTTGTTAAAAAGCTAGATCATAACCAACTTCATGTGCATGTTCGCCCATGCGTGGAATTATTGCAATACCTTTACATCAACAAGATGTCAATTAGCACTGGTGAAAAGTTGGATGGGAAAAAGTTGAAAAGTACTGGATAGAATTGTCAAAGAAATCGTCACGAGCTTCGCAATCATGAAAAGGACAAAGATGTTATTTGAAGTTAAGGTGACAGCAGTCGTCTAGTGTGATGGCAAAAAGTCGAAATATTTCTACACAACAATAAGCTAAGCACATTATTGATAAGTAAAACGTAACGAACGGAAAGAGCCAAGCGTGAGAAGATTGAAAGGGGAAGAGATTCCGGGTGAAAAGGAAAGGGAGAACTGACAACAAGCTTTTCAATGTCGGATAATCGCTTTTGCCTGCTGTTGCTCTATGGATGGCCAAGCAGCAAATGACACAGGTGTTAATTTCCCGATGATATTTCCTGTATTTATTCCGCATTTCCTCACAGTTTTGAAATAACCTCCTTAACAGCGTGAGGATGCATTACGTTCGTTCACACACGATGATGTCGCAACAAAATCTAAACCGGCAAGCTATCAGATATATAATAACATATGAAAGTCGACTCGATGAAGGAGCCAATTGTTGAAACGTTTGTGAGTTTTTTTCGCTTATAAGAGGAAGACTTACCCAAGGTTTGCGGTTGGGGTCCTTAACAAGTTCAAACAGAAGATCCAACGACCCTATTTTTTGAAGAGATAAGTGCTCAGCATGGGTGACTCTGTCTTGTTGCGCATCGCCTGGTTGCGAGCATTGTAGTCAGAGCGAAGCAAATAAGGACGGCTAATTGTCGGCCGAGTTGTAGCTTATACATTGCATATGAACGCTAGCGTAGTTGCGAATATCTATGAGCTAGTGAAGTCCCCATTGGACTATGACATAATAGATTCAGTAACATCGACAATAAAAAAAATAATTAAAAAATAATAAAAATATAATGAACGCGGATGACAACAACGTGGTTTGTAAAGTGTACATTTATATGTAAATAAATTCAGCTATATATCGACAACTCCAGTATGCTTAGCGAAGATCAACATCCACCCGTGTGTATTTATTCCCAGCCTTTTTTGCACTTCCTTTCTATACAATATTGATATCATATATAATCTTTATGAAGAATTTGATCCTTTTTAAGTATTAGAGTCTGTCAAAGAGGGAAATTTTGCGGACGGTGGTTCGTAGCGTCGACAAAGAGGGCATAAGTCCTGGCCAAATGAGCGCATAGTATTTAGACACGAACTGTAAAAAAACGAGAACATAATGTAAGACTTGGTAAATGTCTAATTACAGCACTGCCAGTAGACAATCAAAATATAAAACAAACTAGTAAGCTATCGATAAGGTCGATTTGTATCAGCCTTTCTGTTCCTAACCTAGGAAAAAATAATTCTGAAACTTGTGGACAATACAGCGATATTCTCTCTTTAACAAATTAAATATTAGACATTATTTATTTTCATATAAATATAAATATCTAGACTATATAAAATAATAATAATCTTACTGCGTTACGAAAAATACTTCATACTCCATATTTATGCAGTATACGCAAAAGTTTGTTTTTGCTATTTTTACATGAAGGCCAAGAACAAACCTATGAAAACTATGTGAGCAAGCAAGTGCTTCTGACACTTCTGATTTGAAGTCGTGAAGGCAGATAGTGCATCTGTTATCGTCGATGTTTAATGCCTGCTGGTTACTGTCATCATCCGCCTGGCTAAGATCACAGGGTAGTTCATCTTGTACAAGTGACTCAATTATCACAGGACGCCTAACAATGGCTTGTCCTGTTGCTGCTATTGGCTGATTCGTATCTCGAATAAGATGTTTAATTTCAACCACAGGCAACTGGAGAACTTCGGTAAGGTCCGCTTGTCTCTCACGTAGTTTCCGACGCAAATCGTCCTCCGTAGTATTTAATAGAGTCAGTTTGTTTCGATAATCTTGAAACTGTTGACGCAAATTGTTTTGATGTTTTTCCGAATCTTCCTCGTTACTTTTTGCAATTAACCTTTCGATAGCGGCAATTTGAAGTTCTAAAACGGCTTTTGAGTGGCCACACTTCTCCTGGATAATAACGTCTAAAACATTCATTGTACGATCTCTATCAGTATCATGCTGGTTAAGATTTTCATTTATTTCTTTCTCTAGTTGTTTCGCCTCTGAGAAACCGTCTCGCGCCATTATCACAAGCTGCTCTTCAACTCGTTTGATATCCAAAGTTAGTCGGTTCAGCTGACGCTCCTTATCCCCGATACGTTTATCCATATTGCACGAAAGGACATCCAAGTCATTTTTTTTTTCTAACACGCCTTTCTTTTCATCGACTTGGTCTCGCAATTTATTACGGTGCTGAATAAGTTCGTCAAACCTCTTCTTTTTGTCTTCAGAACTGGACACAGATTTGAGCTCCACCAATTGTTGCTTCCTTTGATCTAGAGCAGCTCTTTTTCGACGGCATTCACTTCGAAGTTCTTCTAGTTGTTCTCGTTTCCGTAAGGCGCTGACTATATCTCCACTCTTTGCTTGCAACTGTACCCCAGCTAGCGTACGGTTGATAGCTGTTAAATCAACATTTGTGAACTTGTCCATCTGGGCAAATAAACATCGTTCTAATGGTTTTGTTGAGCTACTTACTGGAGCGGGCACTACATAACCTTCTCTGATAGTTAGGTCGGGAACCCTGGCAATAAACTCATTGAGACTACCCGCTTTCAAAATCTCATTCATTGCTATTGAATTTCCTAGTAAATCAAGTTCTTTCTTCATTTCTGTAACTGGTAAAGGAGACTTTGCACACAACCATGCCCGTAGAAATACGTCTGCACAATACTGTCTTCTATTGGAGGCAGTTGTTGAAGACCCAGCTGATGCCATCGTTATAAAATGAAAGGTTTTTACAAAGCACTAAATTTTGCGCGCACGGCACATTAATTACGAAACGCATTTAAATTACATTAAACATCAAGGGACCCTGTAGTGAGAAAACATCTTTTGCCAGTCACAAACGTTGCGTTGAAATATGCTTGGTCCATTTACGGACGAAATTTATTCTTTGTTTAGCATCATATAGCATGAAGTTAGTAGGTTCTCTGAAGTGAACCACGGACAAGGTTTACGAAAATACAAACGAATGGATGCGTTTTCATCTCGACTAACGTTGAACGACCGTAGCGCGAAAGCAGGCGGCCCGTTACCAGGGAAGTGTTGGTTTTCTCCCAGACACGGCCACGGACAATTTTTCATAGATAAAAATACGGTCAAATCATTCTTAATGTTAGTAATAACTAATTCTTAACGTTTATGTTTGGGGTTAAATCTTGTAATTATATAACCATATAAAGCTCGATTACATGCCATAACTATAAGGGACCATACCCAATAACCTAGGATCGTATTATTATTATTAACATAGAGACCTATGATTTGCCATTTATCAATTTATTTCAAGAGATAGCTTATTTCTTGAGGTGCTTATTCTTTAGAGGCATTGAATAGTTTCTTGGATTCCTATGCAGTTATAGTGTTATTCAAATGTGAACAAATCAAATAACAAAAAACAATATTAACCTGCTAAAACTGACCTGTGTTTAGACAAGTAGGGTCAAGCATCGTCGTTCAGAAACATTCTGTTTTATTAATCATCTGTTGAATTGCCAGTATATCACAAAAATTGAAAAATGTTTTCCCTTTTGGCCTTTTATGGGTTGCACTTACCTATAGATTTAATGGCGACACATTAGGATAATTCTGCTATGAAGGTCCAACAGTAGACAACGTAACGTTTGCAACAGTAGACTAAGTAACGTGTTTTCATGATAATCCAAGAAACCAGTTGTACACTAGGTTCGAATCCGGGCTTAGACAAATTAATTCGTTCCATACTGAAGTACCCCCTAACGACGAGAGTACTAAATATATAGTGTGAAACAAAAAACATGTTTCAAGGGCCGGAATGATTGATCTGTGTTGTCAGGCCCCAGTGGCCTAATCTGGGATGTCAGGAAAACACATAGACTTCTTTCACATTCTATAAACATCAGGTACGAGCTCAATATACAATTTGCCCATCTGACAAAATTACATCTTTAGATAAGAAAAAGGTCACCACATATTCTTGATATCTAAAGCAATTCAGTTGGTTTTAATAATTTATGAGTTTGGGTAGCCTTGAAAATTCGTTTTTATTATTTGCCGAACGGTATGTTATGTAATCATCGTTTCGTGTCTTAGAGCTGATTATGACGCAGTTGTATGTCTGATAAGTCAATATAAACAATCAATATGCGCTTAGCACTAGCCCTCGAGCTCTGTTTTCCGTCATTGCTAAAGGGGTTCGCCTTACTCACTTCATTTATGATATCGCGGTGTACGTAAGTCTATACAAAATCCGTATGCTGAGCTTTGAGTGTCAGTCATAGGGGCTCACGCGACGACGTGGTTATATACTGAGCTGTAATTTCTGCGACATCAGCCACATATATATATATCTGTACCTATATATTCTTGTCCACAGAACAGAAATGTTCTTCTGAATCAAGGTCAGTAATTCATTATAACAATTTCACGGGTGTGTCGGCCATGTTATTTTACCCGGCTGTGGATTGCGCTTTATGGTGAGCTGTGCTTAGATTTCGTTTTAAACTCCCCCTTTGAAATGTCTCCAGCAACAGTGGACGAATAACTTCAGCGGAGAGAACCGCGTAGGCTTTAGGGAGCCCCACTACTATCTATATATATATACTACTTCGGCTATTAATTCATGATAATAGCTTATGGAGAGTGGAGGTAAATGAGCCGGTGAGTAAAAGCAATGACAACACGATGCCTAGCGCATCGCTATTTAATGACGAATGGCGGCTCTCTATATTTCACATATAGAGTATTTGTACATGTGTTTTCAACGGAATAGTGCTACCAAGAACGGGAACCATTTCAAAGAGCTATTAGTAAATCATATTAATATGTTCAGTCCAAGACAACTTCGAAGGCAATCAGCCCAATTCGGTCATCTTTCCTACGTACGTTCATTTTTGCTAACGTTGTAAAATTATTTACTCAATGAAGCTGTCAAAAACAATTTGGGCGTGTGTGGGCGTTTAATCGCGTCGGACGCTATTTCCGTACGGGGGCAAGGAGGCGGGACAGGAAGAACCTGTTTTCGAATATTAACAAGCACATAACCTAGTACGCATCCGGCCTCATGTGCAAATATCAATGCGCTATAAAACAGTGATGACGATAGGGGGGTAGAGTTTGATCTAAAGCAGACTTCTGCTTTGCCCGGTCGACGTTGCCCTTTCCCGTCGACTAACCATAGCCACGTCATTCAATGGTAATGTCATGTGGGAGCATAAGGGAGTAGGTCCAATCAGAATCGATGAACAGCGAGAAGAAACATGGTTGGCGTTGCGAGGACACTTTAAAAGGCGAGGACCTGCTGAAGAAATTTTCATTGTGCAGCATTGCCGTGAGATGAGCAAAAGCAAGATACTCCTGAGAAAAGTGTGTTTCACTGAGGTCCGGTGAGTTGAGGCTTAGACTTTAAGGACAATTATGTGGTCCCCCTCTTCAAACGTGTAGCCGTCTGTCACGGAAGGCCATCTGGATATGAATATATGCTAACTTTGGGTTGCTTACTAAAAAACTTAAACGAAATTTTTCATTAATCTGTGCGGCGATATGTATTGCGAGTTGTTTTTAAAACGTAGACGAGTTATGGTTATATATGCTCACCTTCAGTATTAACAAAGCTGCAAAAGGTTGGGTCCAAACATTAATTTGTTTCACAGTGTAATTACAGCTTGTTCGAAGGTGGCCTAGCATTTATACCGCATTAAATCATATTACATTTTTATTTGCTAACTTAATCTGGCCTTAAGCATACTCCGTGGTCGTCTTTCCATGTAAACTCGTTTCACGTGGTGCCCCTTCTGTCTGTTTGGACCTCGTAGACCTAAACACACCCGCACACACGTACATTCGCATATTCATAGCTTTAAGCAACATTATGAACTGATACCGACTCAACGTGTTCTTTCTCGTTGATCATGATTTGGTCATTTGAGGTTGCAGAACGTCCAGCAATCTTATATCGTCGACGACAGTAACGGCGTTTGGTTTTCAGTTCCTAAAAGCAAAGGAATTTGGAATCAGGCGGACAGACGGGTATTACAACATGGAGAGGATGACGGCGTTAAACTAAAACAGAATCATCTTCTTAAACCTTTCTCGCGCAAGGCAGCACAGGAAAGTGAGAGTGGCGTTGGTAACGACGACCGCCATGTAGTGCTAGAGCAACAGCAAGTGTAATTCCATATGGTAATCATGTCCCGCGGTTGTTCCGCACGACGCAGACCTTCGCCGACTTGCGAGCGCTTCTTGACGAGCTTTAGCACTCAGCCTTTCGATGCCAAATCTGCACATGCTTTCAAATAATCTTTTCGTTGCTGAAAATAACACGACCACTGAGTTGCGCTTCCTCGGCCATCATCATCATTTTTATCCCGTTCGCGCTTCGTTCAGGCGTGCTCCGAACTCTATTGTAGCAATGTCTGCACCTTTTAAATCCTTCGGACCCTAGTTCGCAACGACCGAGATACTCCCGGGAGCCCTTTGCGCGAACCCCGAAGAGATCCAATGAGGGCACTGGACTTGTCGGATCTGGAGCAGCGTAGTCCCTGAGCTTCCTTGTGCTTAGTGGTGTGTAGCAGGAAATATTAAGAATGACGAGAGGCGTCACCAATTACGACAAAGCGGGCAATCATGAATTCTGCGTGGGTGCGCGATCGCGCCTGCGATTGGCCTTGGCACCACCGCTACCTCTTTCTATTCAGTCAAGGCTTGCCTCTGTAAATTCTTTTCTGCCCTAATAAAAAGTCCATGTTCAAGACCGTTCGCGGCATTTGTGCCGATCTCAAGTCCTGTCATAGCCCCCAACACAAAATCCGGAACGAAGGGGTTAATATAAGTAACAACAACAATTAGATGAGACGAGGTTACAACTGACAAGAATGTTAAGGGTTTCGAAAGCAAAGATAACAAGCATAAGGTCAACATAATATGAATGTATACTACGTGCTATATTTTGTGCGTATTTTCATCATGCTAGTGCGTGACAAAGGCCGATTACTGTCTATATCTATGGTTGCTATTATTCCGTAGGTAGAAGCTGATTGGTGCAGTCGAAATATTTGAGCGCCTTAAGCGTCTATAATGTTTCCTTAAATTTTGAGGGTTTGTTTTTAACTTTTCAACGCTCTAAGAATTGTAACAAACCGCTTTTCATCATTTAATAGCTTTCAATGTGTGCAGAGGACGAAGAAAGGTTTGCGGTCGGTTAATCTTATCCGATCGGGAAATCGAAAACGTTATTCTAAATTGGTTATCAAACTTGAGATAAATCACTCAGAGAATTTGTCTGTAAGAACTTACATTCGTAAAACGCCTTCAGGATGTATTCGTATCTTCAACTATTCTCATTAATTTTCGATATTTCGTCGCAAATTGTGGTAACTAATAATATAACATAATAATAATAATAAATAATCACAATAATAATACCATAAAATAGCGAGTGTAGGTGATGTATTGGATCATTGCAGTCAGCTTCACTCGATCTACACTGTTAAAACTGGAACAGAAAAGGCCCACAGTCATTGAAGTAAGTGTTACCTCACGAGCACACAAACGGTAGAATAAAATAAGGCAGCACAGTTTTACCAGCTATACACATTGTACTTAAGGAATATGTGAGTCCTCAATAAAAAAAATCAAAGCAAAATACATTTACTACCAAAACGTTAGGTGTATCACCTTTATTCTAAAAATTTACCGGCTACGAGACACAATTCAATCCAATTGAAATAAATTGTGATCACTAAACGTATATAACCCCAATGACTTGGTTTATCGTTTATTATATAATAAAGTAATAAAATTATATACTTATCATTGTCATTAATACTACTAGTACTAGGTGTCATGCGACTAAAATATAATTATTACTATAATTATATCATTATAATTATATTTTATTTACGGATGGTCCAGCCTATCGTACGAATGCGTTATCACTGATGGACAACTGTCCATTTCGTCAGAATGCGACAAGTAGAAGGGCAAGAGACATGCACACGTGCCTTGCCACTTTCCGCTAGCATTTCCTTTGGGTCACATTCTTACGCTAGGTAAACGGGGGCAGAACGTATGAGTACCGGCGTGCCGTGCTATTGCTATCTTCTTGTATTTATCAGATGAAACCTTGAACAGTTCGAGGCAAAATGGGTCATTAAAATAATTTTCAAAATAGACACCATAAAATGACATTGATGTACGCCTTTTACCCTCTGTGCCGTTGTAATGAGCATACGATTTTGGATCAGTATATAGATGAAATTGTTTATTCCCATATCATACTTAAGATTATAATAGATACTCATACTGTCGCTACTGTTACACATCGTTTAAGTTTCGATATAAGATTAGCACGCTGGAAAACGTGCTTTCTATAAAACTTTTTGAGTGGTTGTGATGTCGGTAAAGCGAACTCAGAAGTGAAAAAAAAATGCTGAAGATAGGCTACACCGTAAACCGTGTTGCTGTACAGAATGATCTCAATTGGTTCAATGCCGCATGCGTCCCACTCCCCCTACGGATTTCGCGCTATATGTTAGGTGTATATATTTTTGTAGATATGTATTTACGTGTGAAGCATGTACTGAATGACTGAAAATTCGATACATTTTTCTGTTGCTGACTGACGCTTAGACCTTAATAACGATGGCCAATATGCAGAAGGGACGGTGTACTACGTTCTAACGTAACGTGGACGACCCCTATTTCGCTGTTACTTCGTATTAGCTGTTGCATACTTCAAACGAATGTTGTTCGATATGTGATTGATGGTCAATTTAAGGCAAGACATTGGGTTGGCTTTGGGAGCGTATGTTGAGGGAATATCGGTAATTTTGAGCTCTAAAACTCTTGTTCTTATTTAGATACGTTCTAGTTGAAGTAATGGTAGTTCGGTAAAAAAAAGCGGTAGTTTGACTAAAATACCTACCTTTTTCGCAAAATGGTTTAAAACAATGACAGAGGAAATCCAATGAAAAGGCCAAGTTCTAAAGACTGACAGCTGAATCACTTGATAGACTCACTTGTTCATCCACAACATGACCACTCCATAATCCGTTTCGCGTTAGGAAATCCATGCTCTAGTTTGCTAAGAATTATCATTATTATTTTGTAGCAAATCATATTCGAATGTTTTTAAAGTCAACTTGATAGAGATCTAAGCTATTCACTCTGCAGAGTAGAAATCAGCCGAGCTTGATTTTGATGTTTGACAACGACTGTTCGATAACACGGCCTATACGTAAGATAGAGAAACGTTTTATTTATTAGCGTAATTTCAAGTTTGTATAGGTAAAGATGTTGAGACGTCAACAGTAGCTACGTATGCTTCGAAACATACGGGTGGGGGATTGGAGCCAGCCCTGTTAAGTACGAAGAGCCAAACATATTCTTCCCCTTCAACTAATTAAATTATACCAAAACAAAATTCCACGACAGTCTTAATGTTTGTTGTACGGGTCTAGGGGAAAAGAAATTAAATGATTAAAAAATTATCGCACAAAACAGATCTGCCGTAGATTCAGAATAGTACCTAAGCTTATGCTACTGGGCTTCCAATATGATTATCGGTATTATAGAGCTCCTATCTACAGTGACTCAAAAACCTACAAGAGCTCGTTATGTGTATGAATCATGTCGTCCTTTTACATTACCAGCATTATCACTTGTGCGAAAGTCGACAATGTCATCTCCATTGTTTTGTCTGTCAGAACATAATTCCTTCGTGTTCTAATGTTTGCTGGAACTGACTGATTGGTCAGCTAAGTTCGTTAGCGATCTCGACACCTCGAACAATGAAGGGTCGGTGTAGATCGGTTCGGTCATATCATCCACGACGCGTGCTGGTGTGAGTCGAGTTTTAGGGGCCAAATGGTACTGTTTACCGTTTACCGCACTACTGCTAGCGACAGGCGTTTCGTCAACGATGGTCGAGTTGGACGGGCCAAAAAACGGCGACGATACCCCAGTAACTCCGGCGAGCTTCGCTTGCATCCGAACTCGTTTGACGATCAAAGTCGAGCCAAAGATCACAGCCATAAGCGTGAACACGAGAAAGATGAGAAGCGTCATGATTGCATAGTAGCCAGCCTGGGCGACACATACTGTCGGACGCTTATGCATAGCCGCTATAGCGTCGACAAGATATTACAATTAAGAGATAAAAGCACACGACATTACAAATATATTACTAACAACGGACACACACCACTTACACAACAATATAGCCTCTTTGATACTACTATGCAAGATATAAGTTCGCGTCGCCTAGACCTAAGAGCAGGGCTAATCAGTAAACATTTTAAAAAAGGCTTTTCGTCTTTCTGTGGTTAGTTGCCACTTTTGCTTTTTATCTGTTACTTTGCCTTTGTTCCTTTCCTCTTGGATTCATACGGAAGTGTAGCGGCCATGGGTAACGGCAGGCATGAGATTCGGGTCACTGAGCTCCTATGAACAGAAGAGGAAGGACGGGCTAGGGGTAAGGGACAAACGGGCCAGAAGTGCGAGCTACGGCATTTCTATTTAAGCACACCATTTGCGCACACAGCCACACACACACACACACACACACACACACACACACACACACACACACACACACACACACACACGCATGAGAGGCATGCACTCCTAGGCGTCTCTTCCATTCAGCGTACAGCTCAAAAGACTACGGCCCGCTTTACCCTAACGCGCATAGCCGTTGTAGATCATATCGGCCGAGGACTAGGAACTGACATTCGTGCTGGATTCCAATGCACGAACGGGGAAGAAGGGTATCGAAAAGTATTTATAGAGACACCCTGCCTGGGGGCAATGCTACAAATGGAGGAAGGGTAGAGTTGCGCTCAACCAATGATTGGAGAAACGCCATAACGAGTAACGAAAGTATATGATGATAGGGCAAAGGAAAGAAAGTGGCCGTTGCTAACATCAATTTGTCGTTTGTGTATTGCAAATTGATGCATCGAAACAATCCGGTGTCAACGTTAAGTGCGATGCTGACCGAAAACGAAACAGCACACACTAGACCCGGGCAGGCATTTCGTAGAAACGTTAGAAGAAAGTACGAAAATCATAGAAGCGACAAAATTGAAAGTTCGTATGATGTAAAAAAACGAATGTAGAGATTAGCAATTATACGGACTTGACTTGTGATGCACAAAATCTTATATAAAACATCCAAAAGTAGACATCTACTTTAATGAAATTCGCATGGCAACTACAAATTGCCAAAGAAAATCAATAGACTTTTGTTTGAAATGAAACCTTTGTAAATATGGTTAGGGCAATTTTTTTACATGAAGGTCTACAATGAATCAGTGAATCAACGTGCCACGCCAGACTAGAATAACGTTATCGTTTGTACCTGTATGAAAAGGGAGCAAAAAGTTCTATTGATTGAAGTATATTATACCTGCAACAGGCTGTTGCTTCTCTCTATTCTTGGTGTTTGCTTTAGGGATGTCGGATCGAGACAGGTAGACGGTAAGCAGTTCGTGAACCTCTTCAGCATCTGTAGATGGTATTGCTGTGGTGGACTCGTGTGGTACTTCAGTCGTTGTTAGGTTCATTGCCTCTGTCTGAGTCGGCGGAAATGCTTCTGGATGCGTTATATTTACATCTAAACAGAAATTTGAAGGTTCCCATTTTAATTGTCAGCTGTATCCGCGCACTTCTATGTCTAATATCGCAAATATCGTTTAGATCGTCTTTCGAGCAGGAAAGCTGTTAAGTGCTCTAATATTTATAGTTTTTAAAAATGGCCAAGTCTGCACGTACCCACAATACTAATCGTATTGTTAGTGTCTCGTTTTCGGCGTCCCCACGACGGGAATGTACCAGGCCTGCCGCGGTCTGTGCAAATAGCTGGCTCACATGGTCCTCG